TAGTGAAATAGTATTTTTCTTGCTTGGCGCAATGACCATTGTGGAGATAGTTGATGCTCACCAAGGATTTAAGTTGGTAACAGACAATATCACCACTCGGAAGCCAAAGACACTTTTATGGGTGGTATGTGATTTATCTGTAGTTTTCTTCTGTCTCTTCTTATTCAAGGACCTGAATTTCCTTTCTATTGCTGGGCATTCTCTTTACTCTTGTTGATTTATGGTGTCGCAGGTTGGCTTTGTGACTTTCTTTCTCAGTTCGATTCTAGACAATCTGACCTCTACCATTGTCATGGTTTCTTTACTAAGGAAACTGGTTCCTCAATCAGAGTACCGCAAGTATGGAAACCTTTCTTAATGCTCCTATTAGTTAGTTTTTTTGTTAAGCTGTTCACAATGAGAAACATACTGGCTCCTTAAATACAGACCTTAAGATCCTCAGGGAAACATATTGGCCATGTCATGGCATAGATTTTTAATTTTGTTATACCGCTTACGAATTTACTATAATACTCTGTTTTGTGTTCAGCATTATTATCACATTGACGTTAGTTTATACACTCAATGACCAATGGCAGACTTCTAGGAGCTGTTGTGGTTATAGCAGCAAATGCTGGAGGAGCATGGACTCCAATTGGTGATGTTACTACAACTATGCTATGGATTCATGGTCAGATAACAACCTTGCCGACTATGCAGGTTCTCCTTCGCTTCTGAGATAGTCATTTAATGTTATTACAATACCTCATTTTCTTTAATAAGCACAAGCAGCCTTAAGGAACAATGAATGTTTAGAAGTAGGGCTGAATAGTTCATGAGTTTAGGTTAGTTTAAAAAAGAGATTGATTCTGTAAAGTGGCTGGAGGTGACAATTTACAACTAAGGTCCCTTCGGGACTTGTCTTAGTTAGCTGTGTATATCAAAGCTAAGAGGCAGACGCTGAAAATGATACTTTCTCTGGTGTTTCGAATTTCTGTTATTGGAACTTTATGGAGCTATCTTGTATTAGTCTCGGAAAGAATAAGAAAGCAAAGTTTGGCTAAAGCCCAGTGGTTCTGAAGTTACTTTATGTCTCAATTTCTTTGTTGGAGCCTCTTATTGTGATCATGGTACAACAGCTGGTTTGTTACTCCGACATGCTCTCCTAAGTATTTGAAATGTAAAGACAATAGTGGTTAAAGAATTCCCGTATTTGGTCATTCCAATTTTGATATTCCTCATGGAGGTTTACTTACTTTCCTTTCAGGGCCTTTTTATACCTTCGGCTGTTTCTCTTGCTGTTCCACTAGCCCTCATGTCCTTGACCAGGTTATAAATTCTTCTTGCATTCTCAAACGGAAAGGGAGACTAATAGACTATGCTTGGCTTCAGTTGTCATTTTGTGCAGCAGAGGCTGATGATGTAAGTTTCTTGTGTTCCGCAGTGAGGTAAATGGAAAGGGACAGGATTCTTCAGATGTATTGGCTTCTGAAAAGATGGCTCCAAGAGGGAAGCTAGTTTTTGGAGTTGGCCTTGGAGCATTGGTATTTGTTCCAGTCTTTAAGGCTCTAACTGGATTGCCTCCTTACATGGGTATCTTGTTGGGTCTTGGAGTACTTTGGATCTTGACAGATGCCATTCATTACGGGGAATCAGAAAGACAAAAGCTCAAAGTACCTCAGGCCTTATCTCGAATCGACACACAAGGCGCTCTGTTTTTCCTCGGAATTCTTTTATCCGTAAGCAGGTATTAAATCAACTGATCATCTCCAAACTCTAATGTTCCATTACTCTTATGCAAAATCTTTGCTGATGTTGTTTTCCTTTATTTTCCAGCCTTGAGGCAGCTGGGATCCTCCGGGAGATTGCAAACTACCTTGATGCCAATATACCCAACGTTGAGCTCATTGCAAGTGCTATCGGTGTTGTATCAGCAATCATAGACAATGTTCCATTGGTTGCAGCGACTATGGGGATGTATGATCTCACATCGTTCCCTCAAGATTCTGAATTTTGGCAGCTCATTGCATTCTGTGCCGGCACTGGTGGTTCGATGCTTGTCATTGGTTCTGCTGCTGGTGTAGCCTTCATGGGGATGGAGAAAGTCGATTTCTTTTGGTACTTCAGAAAGGTAAGATACATTCTTCTGGCTTGTCTAATGCTCAACAACACAACTTTGCATTAACCAGACTGAAACTCTGGCTCTGAGCAAGAAACTCAGTTTTTTGTTTTCTCCATGCAGGTTAGTGGTTTTGCTTTTGCTGGTTATGCTGCTGGTATCGCAGCTTATCTGGCGGTTCATAATCTTCATTTCGAGATCCCAACAACGGTGGCTCAGATCCCATTTCTCACTGGTTCCTAAGCTGCATCAATCTCTGTAATTCTTCTCTATGAAAAAACAAGAAAAAATCCCTGCCTGGCTGCAACAATAATACATCACTTCGTCGACATGCCGCTTTGGAAAAAAATCAACTATGTAATTTGTTTCATGTACACTCGATTTGTATCATTAGTACAGAATAAATAATCATTTAAGATTATATCGATTTCGAGTTTTTTCTTATGTGCCTCCATGTAAAGTATTAACCTATAGTTTGAGGAAAACAAACTCTTCAATGGCAGGAATGTCTCCGATTTTCTTCAAAGTTTCTTTGCTTGGTTGTTCATCTACTCCAATTGCCATTACCGCTTGCTTGCCTGGAGCGATTCGACCGACGCTCATGAAGCTCACGTTCACGTTTTCATCTCCTAAGATGCTAGCAACTTTACCGATCATCCCGGGCTGATCTACTTGCCTGCACAGAATCACACTCCCTTCTAAACTCACATCCACTCCAAATAAGCCCACTTTGGTTAGACTTGGAATCCCTTGTTTCACTCTGCCTTCTACTTTGATCTCACCGGACTCTGATAACGCGCTGGCGAATCTTGATTCCACGTTTGCGATCCGAACAGTTATGTATTCAATTGGATTCTCGGGTGAGCCGTCTAGAACCATACGTTCCTCTGAGATTTTGACTCCACGTTGTTTGGCAATGTAATCGGAGTTAACAAGATTTATGAATACACTGGAAATGGGTTCGATGAGTCCCTTTATGACCATGGCACGAAGAAGTCTAGTGTCGAGATCATCAGGAGCTCTGGAAGAAGCATAAGTCACTTTCACAGCATTCACACCGCTTCCACCGGTTACCAGTTGTACAGCCAGCCTACCAAGCTTCTCAGCGAGCACAACATACGGTTTCAACTCCCTCAATACCTGAAAACAGATAGCCACTGAGCAATGTCAGAAAACTTGCAGGACAGATCATAATCACTACTTGAAATATCACCAAGAACTAGAAGAGTGAGACATGATCCTGAATTCAGGACTTTGATGAAGTCCAAAATTACCTCTAGTGGAACCATTGGTGCATTGACCGCAGTAGCAGCAAGTTCTCCTCTCAAAGCACCAATAACAGCTTCTGCAACTTCGATAGCCACTCCTTCCTAGGCGTCAGGTAAAGGTTTCAGGAGAGAAGAACAAAATGCAGTAAAGGCAAAACGAATATACAGTATGTGATACCTGAGCCTCCATGGTACTAGCACCAAGATGAGGCGTGGCAGTAACACTCTCATGTAGCACCAACTTATTGTCTTTAACAGGTGGCTCCACTGTGAAAACATCAAGAGCTGCCTGAGCAACAATACCCGAATCAAGCGCTCTCAAAAGAGCTTCCTCATCAATAACTCCACCACGAGCAACATTAACAATACGCACTCCTTTCTTCATCATCGAAAAGGTTACATCATTCATCATCTTCGAAGTAGCAGCAGTAAGAGGCAAATGCAAAGAGATGAAGTCTGCAGTTGAAATAGCTACTTCAAAACTAACAAGCTCCACACCAATGGCTCGTGCACGATCCGCTGGTGCATAAGGATCATGTGTAATGACATGCATCCCAAGTCCCCTGGCTCGTCTAGCAACCTCTGATCCAACTTTACCAAAACCAAGAACAGCAAGAGTCTTCCCCACAAGTGAAACACCTACATATTTGTTTCTCGTCCATTTGCCTACAACAACCATTTAAAAACACTCACATTTCTACATTTCACATCGCAATTTCTCAAATCGCTATCCAAATTCAACAACCATTAAAACACTCACCAGCTTTGATAGAAGCATCAGCTTGAGCAATATTCCTAGCCATGGCGGTTAGAAGCGCAATCCCGTGCTCAGCAGCAGCCACCGTGTTAGCAGTCGGAGCATTGACAACCAAACAACCATACTCCGTCGCAGCCGCCAAATCAACATTATCAATCCCAACACCAGCTCGTCCCACAACCTTAAGCCTCCCACGCGACGATTCAAACACATCTCTCCCAACCTTAGTACCACTCCTGACGATGAGCGCATCACAAAGCGAGATCTTCGTGCAAAGCTCCTCGAGACTCAGATCATAAGAGCAATCCACATTAGCGTACTTCTTCAGCAGATCAATCCCCGCTTGTCCTAGCTTCTCCGTCACTAGAATCGTCGGTTTTCCTCCGGAAGAAGAAGACGTAACGAGGATGATCCGTCGTCTCTGACGGATGGGAAAAACAGAGGAGGGAGTGGTGACGAGCCTTGAGGAGGAGAAGATCGATGATAGATTCAGAGACGTCGCCATCGTGGTGGCGGGAATATAGTGTAAGTAAAGGTGTATGTATCGTCAGCAACAGAGTAGAGATATGGGTTCATCTTTCGGGTGGGTTTTGTGAGGTTTAAATATGTTGTGGTAGATTACGCTAGAACCTTTGTTCACTTATTCTCATATCTTCACTTCTTGGTGGATTTTGAAACTTTATATACAAGGAAAAAGTTACAATTTAATAATTTTTTTGCTAGTAAAACCAAAAATAGATTTTTAAAAATAAAAATACATTATTATATTATGTTAGGAATAATAGTGAAAAAATAAAACAATTTTTGTGATATATGTATATATGGTTTAAAATATATATATCTCCATTTTTTTGTTGAAACTGTAAGTCTGTAACTGTAGTCTTTAAAAATCAACAAATTAAATATTGAATAACCCCTCAAATTGTATTTAGATTCATCTATCTCTCGTTTGTCGTTTCTACTGCAACAATAATGCCACAAAGCATTCGTGTAAACTAATAAAAGAGCAAAAAAAACCCAGAAACTCATGAATCTTGAACACAGCAAAAACACGTGAGAAGAAAACTCTGATAAACCTAGTAAGCGAAACAGAAAGAAATGAACGAAAATCTGTACTGTGATTCACTTTTTTCCGCTGCTCTTGACTATCCATCCTCTTGTAGCATTACAGTGATGGCTCCTTCTTGTAGCTGTAATTAGTCTGGTGAACAAATGGACTGTTTTTTTCACCTGCAACGTTTGAGTAAAACCACAGTCGAAAACTAACTCTTTTCTCAAACCTGGAAAATCTTGAACCAAAAAGGTTTTATTCTTCCGACTTACACTACCTACTGATGTTTCTTCTCTTTGTTTATGGGCATCGGAAACTTCCTTGAGATACTTCGAACAAATTTAGAAGTCGAGTTCACTTTCTCATCAATGTGGTTTTGGTACTTCTCATACACGATAGGAAAAGAAAGACTGAGAAGAATTCCTGCAAGATAAAAACAGCGACACGTTAATTACTCATATCATCCAAGATCATAGACTACTATATAACTGACAAGAAAAGGTTAGATGCTCACCAATGTAAACAAGAGTGAAGGAGTTTATTAAAGTCCCAACATAGGATATAGCCCACAAGACAAGAGAAACCTGTTTCACAGCAAAAACCAACGAGATGTGATACATAATAATAACACGCAGAAGATATCCAGAGTCAAAACGATACAACAAATAGTTTCGCCCAGTTATGAAAAACAAGATTAGACTATAACCTGAAGGAGACGAATCGGATTTCTAGCTATGGTGATATCACTTGCAATTGACAGTACATGATTGATCCAAACCCGAAGATCATCAGCAGCCTTAATCGCAAACTCCTCAGGGATTTCCATATTCGGAACTGGAGGTAGAGGTCTGAAACAAAATCACCAGTCATATACTTATAAGAATAAACAAACACATGACTCGGTTTCTCAAAGCACAGTTCCAGTATTCTTAAGCTTTTATCCTCCAAATTCTTCAAATGGTAAAACAAAGCAACTTAACAAAGAAGCAGCTAATGCCAACAATCTCTACAACAACAAAATCCAACAATGCCACATAAGAAAGAGCAGAGATATACCGGTTGAGTACTGTAGCAGACTTGGCCCATAAGAAGAGGATGGCAACGAGAAGAAGCAGAACATTGGAGACGAAAGACAAGAGATTGTACCCAGCTCTCTCAAATAAGAACCAAAACCCAGTAGAAGAGATTAGCAAAATGGTTGCACCGGTCTGGTTTCTCCATAGCAGCAAATCAGCAACTGCAAAAATTGCAGTAGCCAAAGATTCAAATTCAAATTCTGCATTTAAGGACACATTTCAAGAGATTCTTGAATGTCTCTAAATACGTCAAATTGTTAAAAACGTTTTCATAATTATGATCAATATATAACCTTCCCCAAATACACATAACAATCAAACAAAACCCTAAAACGTAATCGACCAATCCAGAATTACGCCAATCAACGCAACAATCCAGACTCCGAGTAGAGCACGAACCAAAACGCGTAGAAATCGATTGAATCGAGAGCGAAACTCGAGAATAGCCCGATTTCGTGAGAAATATGTAAATAGGGCTTCGATGAATTGAATAGACAACTCACCAGAACCAGCACCAAGAGATTGATGAACAGAAACGCGGGTTGAAGAAGAAGAAACGGAATCTCCCATGGCGAATCAATTAGGGTTCTTCCGCATAGAGAGTTCCAAGGCAAACTGAATTATACGAATCGATGATGTCTAGCGTCGAGAGATTTTCCGAGAGACCGCTTCGTGATCGCAGAACAACGCAACTGCTTTGGATTAATCGTGCCTGCTCTGCTCTCTTCCTTTCCAAAGATCAAAGATTTTCTTTTACGCTTCGGCGACAAAGTTTTTTAAGCTTTTAATTATATGAAATTTTAAAAGTATTATTTTCTTCGCTTTTGGCCACCTTTTCTCAAAGTTGGTTGGCAAAATAAAAAGAAGGCACTAGATTCATGGTTCAGATTCAGAATTTTTTAACAAATTTTTAGCAAAAATTTTTTAACAATTGATCTCCGCTCGTGCTGACTAAGTCTAGACGACAGTCGTGTTTACAAGCAAGGGTTCATATTCCAGGTAAAGGGAGCGATTCGGGCCTCTTGCCTCTGTGTTGCTCAACCCACTATTAGGAACTGTGAAACCCCGGCGAGTACTATTGACTGCCGTGTTCGACCGTCGTATTGACGGACCACTTATGCTAACCTTAAGAGAACAATACAGAATCGCGACTGTGTTTAGAATAGAAAGAAACAAGGTTTATGAAGAAAGTAGGAAGTCTGGAAAACTTAGAGAGAAGTTAGAGAAACATTTTAGAGAGAGAAAGCTATTATGAAATTTTATGATATTTCAAGTTATGAAATCTTACAAGGGGTACACACTTATTTATAGGAGGTTTTTAAGGCGCTGACATAAGCGCTTACCTCAGCGATACATCATCGCTTACATCATTGCTTACATAATCAATACATCAGCGATTACATCATCGCTTACATCATTATTTATTTTACATGATTTTAAACATATCATATTATATTTTATATTTAACATACCGCTTAATGATCCATTTCGAACTCCAGCATATGTTCTTCGCAGCATCCATAATGATCACCTGGACATTCATACGAGTTCTCGATCATTCGTGCATCTTCTCCTGGTTGAACATTTATGTAGAATTTGAACTTCTTTTCGATTTCTTCAACGTTTACTTCATCATCTGGGGATTGAGCGTCTTTGAAGTAATCGGCACAGTAATCTTGAGAAGTCATCTGGGGAGTTGTCTCTTGTTTATCTTCTTTTGGACTGCTTGGTCTTCCTTTGTTGAACTTCATCATGTGATACTGTAAATCTTCATCAAGTTGCATCTGATAGTCGACTGGATAATAAACCCAGTTAGGTATGAACGGAATGGGGAATGTTTGTCTTGCATTGTTGAGGTGAAATGCATGAGTTTGAAAGTTCTCGTATGCTTCGTTGTCTTGAAGGTTGAAATCTGGACGAACTCCTCTTGAAAAATCACCGTGATGAATGAGAGTTGGAAGAGCGAGGATTTTGCTTGTTTTGCGGTTGACCTTAACGGGACGATGAAAGAAGTAGATTGAATGTGGATTGAAGAATGGGTTGAGTCCACCTTTCTTCAACTTCTTGAATGTTAGATTCGTCGCATTTGCGGATCTTCGTAGTTTTCCACTCCAGACAGTCAATGGTGAAAACCACCTTAGGAACGTTGAGAAGCTGTCTCTTTTGTCTTGAACAGTGTTGACGTAGTGGTACAGCCATTGGATGTCGAAAGCAATTCCTACAGTGTAGACTGCACAGAGATACCAGAGGAAACAGAGGACTTCTTCTGGCATATTTGAATTTTCGATCCTGTAAAGATGAGCAAACGGATAGTCAGGATGAATTCCCATTGGAACAATGTGATGACAGTTTACTCCATAGTTCGTCAGGATGGTAGATTGATATGAAAAGATCTTTGTGCGTAGTAGCTCATGAAGCTTGTTTCTGCTGATGAGTTGATGAACATCTTTGGGTACGTCTGCTTCAAAGTCATAGTAGCTCTTCTTGGATTCGGAGGAACTGGCCATCATGTGTATCTCGTCGGGCGTTTCTTGTTTTACAGATTTTCGACTTAGCATGTCCGCTAAAGTGTTCTTGGTGCCCTTTAAATAGACTGACTCGAAATCGTACTTTGAGAACCATTCACTCCATCTTAGTAGCTGCTGATGCGGGACCATCTTCTGCTTGAACTGTAACATCTTGGGAAACGAAGACATATCCATTTCAATACGAAACTTGTGTCCTATTAGATGAAATTCAAACCTCTCGATAGCCTTTTTGACTGCTAAAATCTCCTTGAACGTTGAGTGATAATGTTGCTCTGAATCTTTGAAACGACCACTCTTGTATCCACAGATTTGTCTTTTCCCATCCATCTCTTCAAACAGTATTGCTCCCCAATACTTATCGCTAGCGTCTGTCTGTAGAATACGCATGCCTGAGGAGGGAATCTTTAAAGGAGGTAGCTTTTGCACTTCTGCTTTTAGACTTTTGATAGCTTCAGTTTGTCGTGATGCCCACAAAGGAGGATTTTTCGACAACATCTTCTGTAGAGGTCTTGTCATTCTGGAAAGGTGTGGAATGAAGTCTCCCACATAATTGATTACTCCAAGAAATTGTTGAATTTGTCGCCTTGTGAGATTTTCATCGGGAAAATCTAGGAGTTCTGTAGCTAAATGGGCCTGTGGTGTGAAACTTCCTTCTTTGATATGCATGCCAAGAAAATCAATGTTGGGCTGGGCTATTATCATCTTTCTGGCTGATAGCATGATTCCGCTTTTCTTGACGATGTCTTGAAACTGTTGTAGCGCCTTAATGTGCTCTTCTTCGTTCTTCGAGAAGATGAGTATGTCATCAATGTATATAAGAGCTGTGTGTAACAATGGCTCGAATATACGTAACATTGCTTGCTGAAATAGCGATGGCGCCGTCTTGAGACCGAACGGTAAGACATTCCATTGAAGGTGTCTATTTGGAAGACAAAACGCAGTCTTGTATCTTTCTTCAGGATGAACACCGAGTTGCCAAAATCCTGACTTTAGATCAAACTTCGAAAATAATTTTGCACCTTGGAGATGTTGGAGAAGCGCTCTTTTATTTGGTAGTGGAAACTTGACGTCTTGCAGATATTGGTTCAACGGCTTGTAGTCGATAACTAATCTGAGTTTTCCTCTTGCTTGTTCTGCACGATTATTAACGTAGAACGCTTTGCATGCCCATGGAGAGTTTGTTCTTGATATGATACCTTGATCCATCAATTGATTGCATTCCTCATTTGCCTTTTGCAACAGTGTTGGAGGCATTCCTGCATGGCTTGCTTTTGTTGGTGTTGTATGAACATCTTCTTTGAATGGTAGGGATACGAAGAAGCTTGAGTTTAACCATAGCGGGTGATTACACTTTTGAAGGAACTCCGTGTGTGAATCTGCACATGATGCCATCTTTAGTTCTTCTTCAATTTTGTTGAATTCTGCAGATACTGAGTCTTCGATTGAGAATAGGCGATGCATCGTGGTAAAAGCTTTGTAGAGGTTTTTCCATCTCACGCCTCTTGGTTCTAGAGAAATACCGAACTTCTTCTTCAGTAGCGAATAAGTATCCCACCCAAGGATTAAGTCTTTTCCAGGTGCAGATGAACCTAGTACTTCCTTGGTAACTTGACATCCTGGGAAAAGCTCGATCGTGATTGGTTTTGATTTTAGCTTAACCGTCAGAGATCCTGCATTCGCGACTCTGAAATCTTGTTGATGAGGCATCCACATGGCTCGTGAGAGAATCTTTGGATTTATGATTGTTGTATGAGCTCCTGTGTCGAAGAATGCGATTGCATGCACTGGCTTTTCTCGTTTGGAAGGATCAAAGATGGTTACTGGTAGATGTGGCGTCTGAAGTTCATCTTTCTGAGGGATCTGGGTAATCTTGTAACAACAATCATCGTCTTTGTCATCTTCGGATGAGGATTCTGAAGATTCGTCATAATCCGAATAACTGCATATAGCATCATTCTCGTCACTATCATAAGATAGTATTGACTCGAGATCGTGGTTATCAATATCAAGATCTGGAGCTATCTTGGATATCGAATGAATGAGATACTGCTTCTTCTTTTTAGACTTGTTTGGACAGTCTTTTGCAAAATGCCCCGTTTTTCTGCATAGAAAACATCTTGAAGTTTTCTCGAAGCTTTTCTTTTTCCTAAAGAACCGCTTGCGTTTGATCTTGTTGAAATATTTCGACTTCAAGAATGATTTCTTGGATCCTCTTCGAACTTTTCGTCGATCTTCACATGAACATTTTTTCTTTTTCGAACATTTGATGTTCAGATCTGGGCGAGCACATATCTTCGAAAGATGCTTTGACTTGTCCATGAATTCTGACCAAAATTCTTTTTGCTTGCAAAGCTTGTCAAGAGTTCTGAACACCTGCTGCTGTATCTGTCCAATCGAGATTTCTTCGATTGTCTGCCCTTGATCTCTGATATACAGCTTTGTTTGTTGACTTAGGTAGTCGTCGATGGATGAGAGATACACCTGCTTCAGGCTTGGATTGTTTAGACCATTGAGAGCATAATACCTTCGAGTTTGTCGCTCGAAATGCTTTGCTAAATCTCTCTTCTTCAATGAACAACATTTCGCTGTGTAGAATTCTTCTTGTAGTTGTTCTTTCAAATGGTTTGGGGTGCCAACGAATTCTCTATGTATCTCGCCAAGAAGTAGAGGTATCGTTGTCTGATACACCTGCTGCTGCCGATATTCTCCAAGCGAATTCCACCATTCTTTTAATGCGCCTGACAGTCTCGATGTGAATTGTTGTATCACCACTTCTGTTGGGGAAGTGATTGCTTCGGAAGTCATCCATGCATGAAATTCGTCAAGACGACTATTCCATTTTTCAAAAGGAATGTCATCGAATGTGAACACCATTATCTTTGATGCAAATTGTTTCTTTGGTACGCCTTGAGCTTCATAGCTCATCTCTTCGTCACTTGAAATTTCTTCATAGATTGGCTCTTCTTTTGGAATATGTGACTCGTCTCCGATTGCAAACTGATTTGGAAGAGATTTATCTGTTTCTGATTCATCGACGGAAGAGGTTGAATCTGAAAGAGCTGAGATGTGAGTCATTGTAACAATTGGTACTGACTGCTGCTCTTTTGATTGAACTTGCAATTCTTGTCTTTCATCATCAGATGTTTTTACGAGATTGTCTAGTAAACTAGACATCGAAAACTCGATCATCGCAATTTCTTCTTCTTTTGCAACATTCTCTTTCTTTTCATCTTGAGCGGACTCATGGCTTGATGAAGATGTGAAGCTTGGCTTCTTGGATGGATTGATGTGAAACTCCGAATCTTTGGTACGCCTTGGTTTAGTTCTTGCCACCTTTGTTTTGAAATTGCTGATTGAAGTTGTACCAAACCGAGATGTAAAGGCTTCATCCGAGGATAAGAATCCAGGTACAGGCTGTTTTGGTTTTGGATCTTGATATCCAAACAGAAATCCTGGAGAATATGATTCTTGATATGTGGGTAATCCAGATGACATGTAGTCAAAAGGATTATACAGATTAACTCGCTTCTTGCCTCTGTGTTGCTCAACCCACTATTAGGAACTGTGAAACCCCGGCGAGTACTATTGACTGCCGTGTTCGACCGTCGTATTGACGGACCACTTATGCTAACCTTAAGGGAACAATACAGAATCGCGACTGTGTTTAGAATAGAAAGAAACAAGGTTTATGAAGAAAGTAGGAAGTCTGGAAAACTTAGAGAGAAGTTAGAGAAACATTTTAGAGAGAGAAAGCTATTATGAAATTTTATGATATTTCAAGTTCTGAAATCTTACAAGGGGTACACACTTATTTATAGGAGGTTTTTAAGGCGCTGACATAAGCGCTTACCTCAGCGATACATCATCGCTTACATCATTGCTTACATAATCAATACATCAGCGATTACATCATCGCTTACATCATTATTTATTTTACATGATTTTAAACATATCATATTATATTTTATATTTAACATACCGCTTAATGATCCATTTCGAACTCCAGCATATGTTCTTCGCAGCATCCATAATGATCACCTGGACATTCATACGAGTTCTCGATCATTCGTGCATCTTCTCCTGGTTGAACATTTATGTAGAATTTGAACTTCTTTTCGATTTCTTCAACGTTTACTTCATCATCTGGGGATTGAGCGTCTTTGAAGTAATCGGCACAGTAATCTTGAGAAGTCATCTGGGGAGTTGTCTCTTGTTTATCTTCTTTTGGACTGCTTGGTCTTCCTTTGTTGAACTTCATCATGTGATACTGTAAATCTTCATCAAGTTGCATCTGATAGTCGACTGGATAATAAACCCAGTTAGGTATGAACGGAATGGGGAATGTTTGTCTTGCATTGTTGAGGTGAAATGCATGAGTTTGAAAGTTCTCGTATGCTTCGTTGTCTTGAAGGTTGAAATCTGGACGAACTCCTCTTGAAAAATCACCGTGATGAATGAGAGTTGGAAGAGCGAGGATTTTGCTTGTTTTGCGGTTGACCTTAACGGGACGATGAAAGAAGTAGATTGAATGTGGATTGAAGAATGGGTTGAGTCCACCTTTCTTCAACTTCTTGAATGTTAGATTCGTCGCATTTGCGGATCTTCGTAGTTTTCCACTCCAGACAGTCAATGGTGAAAACCACCTTAGGAACGTTGAGAAGCTGTCTCTTTTGTCTTGAACAGTGTTGACGTAGTGGTACAGCCATTGGATGTCGAAAGCAATTCCTACAGTGTAGACTGCACAGAGATACCAGAGGAAACAGAGGACTTCTTCTGGCATATTTGAATTTTCGATCCTGTAAAGATGAGCAAACGGATAGTCAGGATGAATTCCCATTGGAGCAATGTGATGACAGTTTACTCCATAGTTCGTCAGGATGGTAGATTGATATGAAAAGATCTTTGTGCGTAGTAGCTCATGAAGCTTGTTTCTGCTGATGAGTTGATGAACATCTTTGGGTACGTCTGCTTCAAAGTCATAGTAGCTCTTCTTGGATTCGGAGGAACTGGCCATCATGTGTATCTCGTCGGGCGTTTCTTGTTTTACAGATTTTCGACTTAGCATGTCCGCTAAAGTGTTCTTGGTGCCCTTTAAATAGACTGACTCGAAATCGTACTTTGAGAACCATTCACTCCATCTTAGTAGCTGCTGATGCGGGACCATCTTCTGCTTGAACTGTAACATCTTGGGAAACGAAGACATATCCATTTCAATACGAAACTTGTGTCCTATTAGATGAAATTCAAACCTCTCGATAGCCTTTTTGACCGCTAAAATCTCCTTGAACGTTGAGTGATAATGTTGCTCTGAATCTTTGAAACGACCACTCTTGTATCCACAGATTTGTCTTTTCCCATCCATCTCTTCAAACAGTATTGCTCCCCAATACTTATCGCTAGCGTCTGTCTGTAGAATACGCATGCCTGAGGAGGGAATCTTTAAAGGAGGTAGCTTTTGCACTTCTGCTTTTAGACTTTTGATAGCTTCAGTTTGTCGTGATGCCCACAAAGGAGGATTTTTCGACAACATCTTCTGTAGAGGTCTTGTCATTCTGGAAAGGTGTGGAATGAAGTCTCCCACATAATTGATTACTCCAAGAAATTGTTGAATTTGTCGCCTTGTGAGATTTTCATCGGGAAAATCTAGGAGTTCTGTAGCTAAATGGGCCTGTGGTGTGAAACTTCCTTCTTTGATATGCATGCCAAGAAAATCAATGTTGGGCTGGGCTATTATCATCTTTCTGGCTGATAGCATGATTCCGCTTTTCTTGACGATGTCTTGAAACTGTTGTAGCGCCTTAATGTGCTCTTCTTCGTTCTTCGAGAAGATGAGTATGTCATCAATGTATATAAGAGCTGTGTGTAACAATGGCTCGAATATACGTAACATTGCTTGCTGAAATAGCGATGGCGCCGTCTTGAGACCGAACGGTAAGACATTCCATTGAAGGTGTCTATTTGGAAGACAAAACGCAGTCTTGTATCTTTCTTCAGGATGAACACCGAGTTGCCAAAATCCTGACTTTAGATCAAACTTCGAAAATAATTTTGCACCTTGGAGATGTTGGAGAAGCGCTCTTTTATTTGGTAGTGGAAACTTGACGTCTTGCAGATATTGGTTCAACGGCTTGTAGTCGATAACTAATCTGAGTTTTCCTCTTGCTTGTTCTGCACGATTATTAACGTAGAACGCTTTGCATGCCCATGGAGAGTTTGTTCTTGATATGATACCTTGATCCATCAATTGATTGCATTCCTCATTTGCCTTTTGCAACAGTGTTGGAGGCATTCCTGCATGGCTTGCTTTTGTTGGTGTTGTATGAACATCTTCTTTGAATGGTAGGGATACGAAGAAGCTTGAGTTTAACCATAGCGGGTGATTACACTTTTGAAGGAACTCCGTGTGTGAATCTGCACATGCTGCCATCTTTAGTTCTTCTTCAATTTTGTTGAATTCTGCAGATACTGAGTCTTCGATTGAGAATAGGCGATGCATCGTGGTAAAAGCTTTGTAGAGGTTTTTCCATCTCACGCCTCTTGGTTCTAGAGAAATACCGAACTTCTTCTTCAGTAGCGAATAAGTATCCCACCCAAGGATTAAGTCTTTTCCAGGTGCAGATGAACCTAGTACTTCCTTGGTAACTTGACATCCTGGGAAAAGCTCGATCGTGATTGGTTTTGATTTTAGCTTGACCGTCAGAGATCCTGCATTCGCGACTCTGAAATCTTGTTGATGAGGCATCCACATGGCTCGTGAGAGAATCTTTGGATTTATGATTGTTGTATGAGCTCCTGTGTCGAAGAATGCGATTGCATGCACTGGCTTTTCTCGTTTGGAAGGATCAAAGATGGTTACTGGTAGATGTGGCGTCTGAAGTTCATCTTTCTGAGGGATCTGGGTAATCTTGTAACAACAATCATCGTCTTTGTCATCTTCGGATGAGGATTCTGAAGATTCGTCATAATCCGAATAACTGCATATAGCATCATTCTCGTCACTATCATAAGATAGTATTGACTCGAGATCGTGGTTATCAATATCAAGATCTGGAGCTATCTTGGATATCGAATGAATGAGATACTGCTTCTTCTTTTTAGACTTGTTTGGACAGTCTTTTGCAAAATGCCCCGTTTTTCTGCATAGAAAACATCTTGAAGTTTTCTCGAAGCTTTTCTTTTTCCTAAAGAACCGCTTGCGTTTGATCTTGTTGAAATATTTCGACTTCAAGAATGATTTCTTGGATCCTCTTCGAACTTTTCGTCGATCTTCACATGAACATTTTTTCTTTTTCGAACATTTGATGTTCAGATCTGGGTGAGCACATATCTTCGAAAGATGCTTTGACTTGTCCATGAATTCTGACCAAAATTCTTTTTGCTTGCAAAGCTTGTCAAGAGTTCTGAACACCTGCTGCTGTATCTGTCCAATCGAGATTTCTTCGATTGTCTGCCCTTGATCTCTGATATACAGCTTTGTTTGTTGACTTAGGTAGTCGTCGATGGATGAGAGATACACCTGCTTCAGGCTTGGATTGTTTAGACCATTGAGAGCATAATACCTTCGAGTTTGTCGCTCGAAATGCTTTGCTAAATCTCTCTTCTTCAATGAACAACATTTCGCTGTGTAGAATTCTTCTTGTAGTTGTTCTTTCAAATGGTTTGGGGTGCCAACGAATTCTCTATGTATCTCGCCAAGAAGTAGAGGTATCGTTGTCTGATACACCTGCTGCTGCCGATATTCTCCAAGCGAATTCCACCATTCTTTTAATGCGCCTGACAGTCTCGATGTGAATTGTTGTATCACCACTTCTGTTGGGGAAGTGATTGCTTCGGAGGTCATCCATGCATGAAATTCGTCAAGACGATTATTCCATTTTTCAAAAGGAATGTCATCGAATGTGAACACCATTATCTTTGATGCAAATTGTTTCTTTGGTACGCCTTGAGCTTCATAGCTCATCTCTTCGTCACTTGAAATTTCTTCATAGATTGGCTCTTCTTTTGGAATATGTGACTCGTCTCCGATTGCAAACTGATTTGGAAGAGATTCATCTGTTTCTGATTCATCGACGGAAGAGGTTGAATCTGAAAGAGCTGAGATGTGAGTCATTGTAACAATTGGTACTGACTGCTGCTCTTTTGATTGAACTTGCAATTCTTGTCTTTCATCATCAGATGTTTTTACGAGATTGTCTAGTAAACTAGACATCGAAAACTCGATCATCGCAATTTCTTCTTCTTTTGCAACATCCTCTTTCTTTTCATCTTGAGCGGACTCATGGCTTGATGAAGATGTGAAGCTTGGCTTCTTGGATGGATTGATGTGAAACTCCGAATCTTTGGTACGCCTTGGTTTAGTTCTTGCCACCTTTGTTTTGAAATTGCTGATTGAAGTTGTACCAAACCGAGATGTAAAGGCTTCATCCGAGGATAAGAATCCAGGTACAGGCTGTTTTGGTTTTGGATCTTGATATCCAAACAGAAATCCTGGAGAATATGATTCTTGATATGTGGGTAATCCAGATGACATGTAGTCAAAAGGATTATACAGATTAACTCGCTTCTGATTCTGGACTAGACTTTCTAGGCTTTTCTGAAGATCTTTGAGTTGATATTTAAGATTGGTTTGTTCAGCTTCTTTACTTCTGAACTGAGATGTATTGACCTTCATTTGTTTCGCCATAGCCATCATTTCTTGGTGCAAGTTGCTGAGTTTCTGTTGAATCTCTGATATGGCTCCTTGTAAACTGTTGAATCTTCTATTGTTGTTCTCTGACATTTGATCAACCTTGTGGCTAATGGATGTCAGTAATTGATTCTGAACAAAGGCATTTTCTGTTTGCCAGTTGAGAACCTTTTCTGTTTGGCTTAATTCGTCGGGTCCAGAGGAGTTGATGTTGTTTGGAACGATTTTTGGTGTATGCAGCACATTGTCTTTGACAAAGTCCTTTGGTGGAGGAAAATCCGTTCTTATCATCATGAGTTGCTGAGTTGCGTCTTCCTTCTTTGTTGAATATTCGACTATGAAGTCGTAGTTGCCTTCACCAAGTGGACCAACTGTAGGATCTCCTTCAAGGTAGCGTTTATAGAGTGGATCCTTCTTTTTTCTCCGTCTTCTTCGCTTTTCATCATCCGATTCATACGAATCTTCTAAACATGCGGTGCATGAACAGACATCGAAGTAACAATGTCCGTTTTCATCTTTGAATGGATATACAACAGTTCCGTTCTGACCAAAAGCGATTGGCTGTAAATCTTTCTTTTTGACGGGATCATAGAACTCTTGCTCTTCAATTTGGATAGTGAATTGAGTAAAGAGCTTCTTTTGAAAAGACGAACTTGGCTTTTCAAACTTTATCTCCGTGGTTCCGTCGCTTCTAGAGTGAAAGCTTACGTCAGATGACTGAATCGGTGCTTGAGATGCTTGATGTATCTTCTCATAGCTTGTTACCCATGACTCTGGCAGTTTTCGTAGCAATTCCTCACGAGATATCTGTCTCGGGATTTGAATAGAGTTGGGTGCTTGCGAAGCCGATGTGACTTCAAGGTATAAAGCTTCATCTGATGCTGGTAATGCAAGATCGAGAGCATGATCTTGGATTCTGTATACGATCTGATGATGTAGAGTTGCTGCCACACTTTCTTCTTGCATAGGTGCTCCGATTAGTTGTAATTGAACCTTAAGCGCCTTCAGGAGATTTGGATCTTGTAGTGAGACATTGAAATTGGGAAACAGTGTTATGAATACTGTTCCTGCGTTCAGCGTTGTTTGTACTGTTCCGATGCAAGCTTGTTGATATGATTTGAGTCTTGAGTCAAGCAAAGCAATCCGTGCTACAACCGGTAAACCTTTTCGTGCGTGTAAGGTTAAACCGATTCGTACTACACCAAAGTGTAGGTGAGTGTAGCCCTGCTGCTGCCATAGCCTTGGAAGATGCTCTGGAATATTTAGCGAGATGAATTGTTCTTCTTCAGTAGCTGGAACTTGACATGATGAAAACTTGCTGGATTGCACATACTCCAATACTCGTCGGCTGGAAGATGGCTTGATTAGATCACGAACACCTTTTACTGAAAAAGCACTAGGCTTTTTAGCAAAGTATTCATAAGGATTAACCAACGGGAGAGTTGTTTCCGGCAATTGATCTCCGGGAACGTATTCGATTTCATACAAGGAATTTATTTTAGAAAGGGAATTATTTCTTTGGATTTTTGGTAAAGTAGATATAGCAAATTGAGAATCTATAGAAGGATTTATCTGAGGGTGTTTGGGAGGCTTAGAAAGAGACATGATTGAGAGTCTGTTTTCCAGAACATTCAAAACGATCAGTCATAAACAATGATTCTCTCTACCTTCACACAAGCCTAGGCTCTGATACCATAATCTTAAAGCTAGCACGAGCGGAGGGTCGTGTTGACTAAGTCTAGACGACAGTCGTGTTTACAAGCAAGAAAAAAAAATCATAATCTGAAATCATTTTTCTTATTTTGTGACAAACCCAACCAAACAGAAAAATTCACATTGATAAAAAACCAAAGCATTCGTTTTTGAACCATTTGAAAAAAAGACACAACAAAACATTCGTTGGACCTACCAGGCCCGTTACAATATTTTAGATTTCGTATCAATGTGCGCTCTTTAGCTTGTAGTTGTTGCAGCCTCCTCCACGAGGTTACTTCCAGCAACATCAACGACAAATCTGTAACGAACATCGTTCTTGCTAAGCCTCTCAAACGCAGTGTTAAGTTCATCAATCTTCACAGTTTCAATGGTCGACGTAAGCCCTTTCTCTTTGCAGAAAGCCAACACTTCTTCTGTCTCTTTAATGCTCCCTATGAAGCTCCCCGATATCACTTTCCTCCCTGTCAAAATCAAAAGTCAAAACCATCAATTTTGGTATCGAATTTAGTTGTAATTAGACATGATTTCAAACGAATAAAGACTGACCAAGAATGACGACAGGAGTCAAGAACTGAAGAGGAGTGTTGATAACACCCATGAGAATCAATTTCCCATCGAGTTTAAGACAAGCTAAGTAAGGTTCGAGAGGGTGAAACACAGGTACGGTGTCGATGATATAGTCAAGAGAATCTGCGAGTCTTTGCATCTCTGCTGGATCAGAGCTCACCGCATAGTCATCAGCTCCTAAATGTTCCATTGCTTCTTCTTTTTTCTTATCTGATGAGCTTATCACAGTCACATGATGTCCCATTGCTTTAGCTATCTTCACACCCATGTGTCCTACTCCACCTAACCCTAGAATCCCTCCTTTAAGCCCGCTTGCCATTAGACCGAAATGGCTTAACGGACTGTAAACCGTTACTCCCGCGCATAGCAGCGGTGCAGCCTGCTCCACCGCCATTCCTTCTGGAATCTTCACCACAAACCTTTTGAAATAGAAAGAAAGAAGTTCCTTGTGGATGAAGAAACAAATGCTCTGTGTTTTCTTGTGAAACAAGAAAGGTATGAATGTGAGCTTACTTTTGATTGACGATCATGGTGTCGGCGAATCCACCTTGTGTGGGTTTTCCATCGGTGTAGACATCATTGTAGCTCCAGATTCTCTTGTTACAGTACTGCTCAAGTTCTGAGCTGCATGGTTTGCAGCTTCCGCAGCATCCGACAATCACGCCGACTCCGACTACATCTCCTACGGTGAACTTGCTCACATCTGATCCCACTTCCACCACCTCACCTACCACCTCGTGCCTGTAAATAAAAAATTACACCTTTAGTTGTTACGGAATCTTGCTCGTATATTTCCGTTACCGTACAAGTCCCACATTGACAGTTTTTTTTTTTTTTTTGCATATTAATTGAAAAACAGTGACAGGTGTGGTTATAAACGAATGTCAGATGCGTAACAGTAGCACATTCAATTATCTTCAAAACTCATTTAACATATCATGGTTGACTAATCAACTTATATGAAACATAAAATACCAAATTAATAATATATTTACAATCTGTCAATCTATAGGATTATCTAAATTTTGTTTTTCCCAATAGGTTATCAAATTTTAAGAGACAATCAATCTTTATTGGCATTATCTATGTACAACTTGGGGATCCATTTTCAACAGATGAAAAGAAAATCACCATTCATGGTTAAAAAAATAAAATTGAAAAAAAGGCAGAATAAGAAAAGAGAGAAAGAGAGTTAAAGAAGAAATTACCCAGGAACCATAGGATAATTAGACATTCCAAGATCATTTTTAATCTGGTGGATATCAGTATGGCATATTCCACAGCATATAACCTTTATATACACATCATCAGCTCCTGTGCTCCTATTAACAAAATCCAAGATTCAATTTTCAAAAAAAAAAAAAAAGGGAAGTCCACAATATATAACAAAACCACATAATTTACATTACAAAACAAAATTTTCTTATAAAAAAGGATAAGAGAAGAAAAAAACCTTAAAGTGTAGGAGTAAGGAGCAAGAACACCAGAAGGATCTCTTGCAGCCCATCCTAAAGCCTTCTTCTCTCCTCCTTCACTTCCCATTTTTTGTTTTCTTGGTTTCTCCGGAATTTTTTTTTGTTTTCTTTAGTTTTGAAGAGGATGTTGAGATATTATATGTGTCTATGGAAACATGACTATAGAGGCACTCTATTGACATATGTATATACAGAGCAAATGGGGAAATTATAAGAGATTTATTTAATACCAAAAGAGAGGAGGAAAAATGGAATACATTATTTTAATTTTTGGTGGATGTGTATTTTTTTAAGTCAGTAAGCTCGACCAACCAAACCTCTTATCTTTTTTCCCCCGGGGGTACAAATACAATTACACAACCATACCAAAAACGTAGCGAAGTGAGTTTGGTAAAAACTAAACAAAAACAATGTGGACCACAGTAAATAAATAGTCGTTGAAAGGGAAACAGAGATATCGGCAGCCTAACTAAATTTTGGACATGCATCGATACATTATCCATAGAAAATTAAGATAAAGTAGTTGACAAAAAATATATGACACCATCAATTTAGGTGACTATTCTTGTTTCTTCTATACAATAAAACATAATTATTAGTTTTTTTTTTTTGTGTCGCGTTACTGTAAACATTTTTAGCTTAATACACTTCATAAAACATAAATCGTTTATTATGTTACAGATTTTTCGTCTCTGGACTAATTTTGTAGACTTTTTTTTTCTTAAGAATATTGTAGTAGCCTGAATTTATATATTTTTAACCCAATGATCAAAGAAGTATTAGTTTTTGTGAATTTATCACTTAATTGGTCAGATAAAATAGAAGAAATAATTGTAGTTCTGAAAAAGACGTTTGATCAAGGATGGGTGGGGAAGTAGGTAATGTACAAAAGTGTGGTTGGTAAAGATTCGACGCTACTCTTTTGTTCTGAAGCCTGTCCAATCATATAACGCCATGTCATCTACTCACCTTTCAGACAGGATAATTCACAATAGTTCCAATAAAAAATGGGAAAACATGTCATTTAAATCGTCACTTTGCCATTTGTGGAGGTTTAAAGCATGAACTTTGAGTCTGGTGCTTTTAATCCTCAATTTCTAGTTGACTTTCAATTTAATCTCTAACTTTCGTTGACGATGCCGATTGAGGCACGTCTTTAACTGGACAAACGGAGGATTAAGACGCTGTTATCTGTCCGTCTAATATATCCGTTAATAAGCGAAACGACATCGTTTAATCAAATGAAAACTTCCAAATTCTATTAAGCTCGAACCCTAGAATACCAAATCGAAATTAGAAATACAAAATCGAAGATTCTCTCTCGTTTTCTTCTCTAATCTCGATTTTTTCTCAAATCTCGATCTCATCTTTATTCCTCAGGATCTGTTGTCTCGATTCCGATGAGTTCTAGCTCCGAGACATCGATAGTACTCGCTGCCCGTAGAGTGCCTTCAAAGTGTGTGTGTGGGTTAGGTGTAAGGATCTTTACATCGAAAACTCAACACAGTTATCTTGAAGTCTTGATTAGAGAAGAAAACGAGAGAGAATCTTCGATTTTGTATTTCTAATTTCGATTTGGTATTCTAGGGTTCGAGCTTAATCGAATTTGGGGGTTTTCATTTGATTAAAGGACATCGTTTAGCTTATTAACGGATATATTAGACGGACAGATAACAGCGTCTTAATCCTCCGTTTGTCCAGTTAAAGACGTGCCTCAATCGGCATCGTCAACGAAAGTTAGAGATTAAATTGAAAGTCAACTAGAAATTGAGGATTAAAGCACCAGGCTCAAAGTTCATGCTTTAAACCTCCACAAATGGCAAAGTGACGATTTAAATGACATTTTTCCCAATAAAAAATATCAAACCTGTCTTTGTTCGGTTAGGTACTGCTGAATTACTGAATATTCATTCATATTCATAGCTATATGTCACCAACCTTTCGTTTTCCATAGGTCAGAAACATTTTTTTAGTTTACAACTTAAGATTATCTTAGTTACAACAAAGATGTCTCTCTCTATCTTTAGTTATATCCAATTAGATTAATAACATATCAAAACACAAAGACAATAATTAAATCTCTAATTGAGACTATACAAGTTAGCTGTTTAGTCAAACAACTGTAGTGACAAGTTAATAGATACCAAAATGCGATTATTGGGTCAATCAGTCATCAAACCAACTGTGTTACAGTTAATCATACCACAATAATAATTATATGCGAAAATCATTTAAATATAATTTTTTAACTTTCTTTGTATGAGAATATTTAGGTCCAAAGACGGCCTCAATGAACACAAATAAGAAAGCTCGGTAAGAAAAAAGCATCTCTAATTTTTGTCACAAGTTTCGACTCTAGATTTCAACAAATTAAAGCTTAGCTGCATATGACTAGGCAATGGTGCATCGAATTTAAGGCTATCGAGATCCGAAATATCAGAATCTGAAGAAACCTGCATTTTCTCCAAGAGCTGAGATATGTTTGGCAGATCGATTTGCTTTGAATGGAGATGAAGGTGTGGCTGTTTTGAAGAGACATCTCCACCGTCTAGATCAAGGCCAAAAGGAGATGATGATGGCTTGGTCGGGGTGGTTTCAGAAGAGACAAAAGGTTCCCGGGCTTTATGAGCTTGCCAACCGTATTTGTAGTCCCCGAGTATAGGTGTTCCTAGAACTTCTGCGCAGTGTACACGAAGCTGTGGCAGTCGAAGAACAGTTGAAAACAGATTATTAAGAGAACAGAAAAAGAGAGAAAGTTGAAACAAAAACTGAATATCTTTAGAGACCTGATGTTTTCTCCCGGTTAAAGGGCGAAGCTCAAGCCATGTGTATCCTGCAAATCAACAATGTGCTAAAGTTTCAAGGCCAAATCATTTGCTACAGATCAACAATGTGCTAAGAACTTAAAGGCCAAATCATTTTATTTAAGTTGAACTGGATAGAAATCGAAGTCAGTTGTCTCACTAACCATGTGGTGAAGATTCAATTACTTTGTATTCAGTGATAGCATGCTGAGTAGAAACGAGTTCTCCATTGTCATTAACAGTGATACGATCAGATTTTCCATCATCCACAACCACCTACTCAGACATTCCACATATAGTTTAGCTTAGAATTTGATTCCAGTAAAGCAGCAAAAGCAATAGATTGAATTTGAACAAACGAAACAACTCTGCATTTTTTGAATCTGAAGAAACCTGCATTTTCTCCAACAGAGTGTAAACTGACCTTTCTGAGTGGCGCTGAAATCTGTCCCTTTTGACGTCTTGGACACCCGATCACAAGTGCCATATATTTTCTTTTCAAGGATTTTATGTTCTTTTTGACACCCTGCAAAATGAAAGAAAAGTCATTGGAAGAGAGAAATTTATGTGTATTTCCCACGAATCATGACAAGCAAGGAGGAGATCTGAGAGAAAGCAGAGGATTTACATATGCGGACGCACCACATGTTTTCTCGCGGAATATGGAATGGAGAACTGTTGCAGCCGTCTGTGTTCTTGCCAACACCAAAAGTCCACTACAGTCTCTGTCAAGTCGGTGCACCTAATACATATCCATACTTGCATAAGCCAAAAGATTCATACTTTTCAAATTAACAAAAAACATAATAAATCATACACTTTCGTTTAAATACATTTTAATTACTGCTTTACTAATGATTCTCAACTAACCAGCCGGGGAGATTCTGATTTATCAAATGTCAAGCAAGTGGCAGCGAGTTCATCGATACTGGTTTTGATCCCACTCCCACCCTGTTAAAGAGCAAATGTCCATCACTTTTCACAAGCTCCAAGAACATGATAACATCAGAAGGCAAAGTATAAATGACTTACTTGAACAGCCAAACCATGAGGTTTATTCAGAACAATAATAGCTGGATCCTGACACAATATCTCACAGTTAAGATCTATCAATCTATATAACATATTCACATCAATTAAAAAAAAAAGCTAACCAATAGTATAGAGTTTCAAAACCTTATATAACACCAAACTGCAAACAAATTTGCGTTCTTCTTCACTACATTGAAAGCTTTCTTTCTTAGCAGGTGGCGTCGGCGGCGTATCATTGTCAACCGACAAAGGAAGGTAAATTCTATCACCTACATTCAAGGATTCCTTAGCTGCCACCTTCAAGAGTCAGAAATCAAGACCATCAGATAAAAAGCAGCTTTCTAAAAACAGTTACTTGTTCCAAACAACAGATTACAAAATAACATTACCCTTTTAAGCTGGCTTCTTTGTAGTTCATGACCATCAACACTCAGAGACATTTGTCTTCTCACCTGAATCAATTACAATGTAAGAAATTGACAGCAATTCAATCACACCCTAGAACTAGGAGTTGAATACAAGACTGGAAGAGACTGAGAGTACCTGTCTTAAACGGAAGAGTTTCTGAACGAGAGTCCTGGGTAAATCTGGACGACAGCGAAGAATCCACCTAAGCGCCGTCGTTTTAGAGTTATCCGTTGAAGCTTTGACGGAGTCTCCGTCGGAAAGGAGATCCTTTCCTACGGCGGTGCCATCGATGGTGGGAGAAAAAGGAGGTAAAGTTAGCCAATTCCCTCTCGAATCATCGGTCTGAGCTGTACTGTAGCTGCGACTACAGTGATGAGCCGCTGCAGACAAGGATTTGGTTGGATCCTTGAAGGCGGAGATAGTAGGCGATGGAGATTGGAGATGTCGACGGAGCGTCGCAGTCGCAAGTCTCCATTTGGCCATTTTAGGGTTTAAGCTAAATTCAAATTAGGGTTTAAGGGTTTGGAGTGGAGCAGTGGAACTCTAGGAAGCACGGAAGCTCCGTCCGTAGTCCGATTCCCGTTTCGGAAGCTAAAACGGAATCGGAAGCTTCAGGAAGCGCCCGGAAGCGTGGTGGAAGCGCGATTCCGAAAAAAAGGAAATCGGAAGCGTTTTGGAAGCTATGATTCCGTTTAGGAAGCGTTCTATTTTTATGCGATTCTGATTTTAGAATCGTTATTAAGGAAATATTTAGGAAGCGTGACATATTTTTTGTATTTCTTAATTAAATATGAAATTAGAAAACCCTAATTACAGTTTACTAAACAAGAGAATACCAATCGTGGCTAAATTTCGTCTTTGGCAAAACTCTTGTTGGGATTGACCCATTTGATTGGCCCTGCAAAAGAGAAAGCTAGGTTAGTGATGATGAAAAACAAGGAAGTTCTGAAGTAGAACAAGAAGAAGAAGTTGTCATGGTTGAAGGAGAAGAGAGGTCAACTAAAGAAGAAGAAGGAGTCAACGTAAAAAGAAGATGTGTTTTGAGTTAAGAGATGGAGTGGGCCTAAGTGGTTAAGGTGTGGCCCAACAGAAGAAAGGTGTTGTCTAATGGGTCTAACTAAAGCCCATTCGTAGAAGTAATTATAATGTTCAAGTATAACTAAGCGTTAAGTGAGTTGTTGAGAGTGTTTGCTAATGGTGATGAAAATGAAAAGGAAGACGATGGTCCAAATCTTTGACTTATGCGTTATGTTTTTTTTTTTAATCTCTAATCAACTTAATTAAGTATTGGATCTCTTTTATTTAAGACAAGAGTTATTTAATCACATTTGAGTTATTTAATCACATTTGATTATATATATATATATATATATATATATATTACACGCTTCCAAAACGTACCCATATCATAAATTTTTGAAAAAATTGCTTCCACGTTTCCAAACGCTTCGCTTCCCCGTACCCGCTTCTGATTCCATGCAACTTAGGTGGAACTTGGGGAAGATGGAAGCGATGGTCATTACTCATTCATTAATCAAATCAAATCATATTTGCTTAATTATTTGGTAATTCTGACCAAAGAAATACTACTCCCTCCGTTTCGTTTTAGTTGTCGTTTAAAGTTTTTTCACGCAAATTAAAAAAAGCATTAAATTTTCTGTTTTACCCTTTATTAATATATTTTATAAAAAAATTCATTGGCCAAAACATTAAAACAGTATAGATAAAACTGGAATTTTCACAAAACATTTGCATTAAAAACCTAAAACGACAACTATTATGAAACAAAATTTAAATTCTAAAACGACAACTAAACCGAAACGGATGGAGTAATTGTTAATTTTGAGCTATTTTCTCTGTTATTTTGGTAAATCCTTCATGAGATTAGGGGGGCATTTTGCCTTGTCTTCACTTTTCTAATTAATCACAAAAAAAAAACAGTTGTAAAAACGAAAAAAGTATATATGAATGATAAATTAAACCGAAATAAAGAAAGAGATTAGCCAAAATAACATGTTAATAATATTTGTCTAAACCAATCGGTATGCTTATCAGTAATTAAAATTATTTTGTGGAAGAAATCTTATTACAGTATAACGAATGATTAGAAAGGTAGAAACGTTTTAAAATAAGGAAAAAAGAGAAAAAAAAACATGCATGTACACTTTAAAAAGCTTTACTTTGTCTCTGCTTCGAGTTTTCTTTTCACCCAACTTTACTCGGTTGGTATGTTCGTTCTCTTGTTTGTCAATAAGATGAAGTTGGGTTTTTCTTCTTTACCAAAAGGTTTCGGGTTTTAGGCATGTAGTCTTCTCACTGATTCTACTATTTTTCAACGCGGTCATTTTGTTATTTAAAATGTGTTTTGAAGTTTTAACAAAAATATGTATATTTGTTGTTTATTGACCCAAAAATAAAAATAAAAAACAGAAAAAATGCATAGATTTAAAAGACCATAAATTCTGAGTAAAAATGTCAAATATAAGCATATATATATATATATGACGAAAAAAAAAAGCATATATATATATATATCGATCTTAGAATCTCAAATTCAACAATAGGCATTTAATTAGATTTAGTTAAGAATAATAAGTCTATTAGTAGAACACACAAATTAAATTAAAATGATACTTAAGACCTATAGACTATAGTCGGTGCCTCCTTAAGTCGCTTAAAGTCCAAAGCCTGCATGTAATGACGTGAATTACATATGAAGTTTACTATTTTTTTTTTTTGGTAGGATATGAAGTTTACTATTATATATATATATATATATATATATATGAAGTTTACTTACAAACAAATGATCGACAATATTAATTCTGATGAAATGTTAACGCTAACAGAGAAAATATTAAATGGCGGTATGAATATGTTTCTTCAAATGTAAGACAAAGTAGAAAAATGAAAACATATAGCTGTAAAGTAGGTGTTGTCATGGCTTAACTTATCATTGTTGTTTTCTATCATGTGACCCCCAAAAGGTCAAAATGTGCTACTACACGAAATTAAGTAGCATGCGGATCACTTCATCGCAAAGTGATTCCCCATGCATAAACTTTCATGTAGCCGATATACATCATACATATAATTAATAATATCACACACATATATATTATGTATTACGTAGAACTGCATAAAGTGCAATCGAAACTCATTCTAACAGTTTTGCTAGGTATTATATACCTAATGGCTAATTGTTTCTATTATATTGCCTAGTTAAATATGAGGTTGCCAGTGGTAAATCTTTTAGGTGGAGGTACTCGGTTCGACGCCCGTTAGAAAGGATCTCTTCTCCGAAAAAGATGAATTTAACTTGGTGTGGGTCCCGCCTCTAAAAAATGTAAGGTTTTTAGGGTTGAACTTCCAGATATTAAAAAAAAAAAAAAAAAGTATGAGGTTGACTTTACGCTAAAATTGTTTACATGTCAACTAAGGTGATGATTTTTTATTCTATTTTTATTTAACATTCAATTGATATTTACAATATTTTGGCATGGATCATCGATATACTGTTTTATATATTCCAGATACTTTGTCTTGAAATTAGACCGTATGGTATTTGTAACACATAATTTTGGTGATGACGAAAAGGTGAATGGCAAATAAAAAAATTATCAGTATTGTAATCTCCAATTTTTAACAACCCCATTTTCTCATTTTTGATCGAAATTTCGAACCAAAACAATGATCATGGCCAAGCCCTTTTTCAATGGTAGACTAATTAGTTTTTATCCTTTTAATTAAACTTTCGAACCAAAGCTAATAAGCTATGATCATATATACCATCATATCCACTGATCTCATTGGCCGAATTTTGAGAGAATTTTAAATTCAACTCAATTATATATATAATTTGTGAAAATTCTAACCTACTAGTACTAGTTAACATTCGAGAATCCGTTTTGCGATGAATTAAAAACTTAAGTATGTATCTACAGAATGCAAGTTATGTATAAAGGTGTTAATAATTTTAAATTACGTAGCTATCCTAAAAGGCAAGCTCCATAGAAAGAACCCTTGTTTGAAAAATCGCTAGACGCTAATCGGGCGGTCGGTATAACTTAGCGATTAATCGGAAAATCGGATTAAAATCGGGAAATAATCGGAAATTAGTTTTAGGGTTATTTTAATGTTTTAAAAATATATTAATCTAATATTGTTTTCAAAATTATAGTAAACACATAAAAATATATTTTAAGGCAAATTTTTATGATTTTTTGTTAAAAATTATGACTTTTATTAAAAATTTGAACATAAATTATTGTAAAACATTACAAACTTCCAATTCAAATGTTTAAATAACAAAAAAAAGTTGGTTTATACTTGCAATCAAAAAATAATCGGGATATGTAAGAATAGGCGGAAAATAATCGGATTAAGCGGAAATTAATCGGATTAGGCGGAGAGTAATTGGATGACTGGTTTTTTTAAGGGATTAGTCATTAATCGAGGCGGAGAGGGTGGACCTAGCGATTAATCGGGGAGTAATCGGGTTAAGCGGCGGGGATTTTTAGAACAGGAAGGAACCCTTATTTAAAATATTAAAAAGACCCCAACTTGATATTTAAAAAACCCAACATATCTATCTATATACACCATATCAGAACACTTGAACCACATCATCATCCATACCATCAAATCCTAAAGCACATAACAACTGAAAAAACAAACACCTCTCTATCTTCTTTGTTTGGTTTGGCAATGGATCTAGCCAAACACACAAGACTTCAAATATTGGGATGCATACTCATGGCATCACTTGCATTAACAATGGCTGATACACCCCCGGGTATAGCCAAGAACCCAAGCCACGCAACATGTAAGATCAAGAAGTACAAACATTGCTACAACTTGGAACATGTTTGTCCCAAGTTCTGCCCTGACTCTTGCCATGTCGAATGTGCTTCTTGCAAACCCATATGTGGCCCCCCTTCCCCTGGCGACGATGGTGGCGGCGATGACAGTGGTGGTGATGACGGTGGATACACTCCACCTCCAACACCTTCCGTGCCAAGCCCTACTCCACCAGTTTTACCATCGCCTCCAACTCCTACACCGTCTGTTCCAAGTCCCACTCCACCAGTTTCACCACCACCTCCTACTCCTACACCGTCCGTGCCAAGTCCCACCCCACCAGTTTCACCACCACCTCCGACTCCTACACCTTCTGTGCCAAGTCCCACACCACCAGCTCCTACTGATCCTATGCCAAATCCCCCTCCCCCAGTTTCACCACCGCCTCCAACTCCTACACCGTCTGTTCCAAGTCCTCCTGATGTTACTCCCACTCCTTATGTTCCCCCGCCATCAGACAACGAGGAAGGAGCAGGAGTCAGAAGGGCCAGATGCAAGAAGCAAGGCTCTCCATGTTACGGAGTTGAGTACACTTGCCCTGCCGATTGTCCCCGTTCTTGTCAAGTCGATTGTGTCACTTGCAAGCCTGTTTGCAGTATGTCATCTTAATCCATCGATCTCCTCCTTAAATTCCTTAATTATTCAGTTACTTAATATATGCTAAATCATGATACATTGTGAAGCAGATTGTGACAAGCCAGGATCTGTTTGCCAAGACCCACGTTTCATCGGAGGAGATGGTCTCACCTTTTACTTCCACGGCAAGAAAGACTCCAACTTCTGTCTTATTTCTGATCCTAACCTTCACATCAACGCACATTTCATCGGTAAACGTAGAGCTGGTATGGCACGTGACTTCACATGGGTCCAATCCATTGCCATACTCTTCGGCACTCACCGTTTATACGTCGGAGCCCTCAAGACTGCCACGTGGGATGATTCTGTTGACCGGATTGCCGTCTCTTTCGACGGAAATGTTATCTCACTTCCTCAGCTAGACGGTGTCATGTGGACTTCTTCACCTGGAGTATACCCTCATGTCTTTGTCAGGCGAGTCAACGCTGACACTAACAACCTCGAGGTATGCCCTAAGAAAACATTACTTTATCCCCACGGTCCCTTAAAAGGAACAAAATCAAATACAGAAACATTATCTCTTAAGTAGAATTGCATTCTTTTTATCAAATCTATTAATTCTTTCGTCGTCAAAAGTCAAAATTATCCTATTTTGATATATCGTATCAAAGATAATATCAATTTGTTTCGTATTCAAAATTATGACAAACGCAATAATACTTAGCGAAGATTGTCAAATATAATTAGGTATATCCCTAAATTTAATCACTAATATATAGTAGTCAACTAATTAATCCCTATACTTTATTCAGGTTGAAGTAGAGGGTTTGCTTAAGATCGTAGCAAGAGTGGTGCCAATAACAATGGAAGATTCAAGAGTCCATGGCTACGACGTGAAGGAAGACGACTGTCTAGCTCACCTTGACCTAGGCTTCAAGTTCCAAGACCTTAGTGACAATGTTGATGGTGTTTTGGGACAGACTTATAGGTCTAACTACGTTAGCCGAGTTAAGATCGGAGTCCAGATGCCTGTGATGGGTGGTGACAGAGAATTTCAGACCACCGGACTTTTTGCACCTGACTGTTCAGCCGCAAGGTTCACCGGTAACGGAGGCAGCAACGGTGGCCAGAACAAACTGGAGCTCCCTGAGATGAGTTGTGCCAGTGGCATAGGTGGCAAGGGAGTGGTCTGCAAGAGATAGACACTCCTGATTTTATTACTACTATATATACCATTATACAATTTGGTAAAGACTATAATACTATAACCTAATAAAATGGGTAACATGGTTGTTTTTTTTCCTATAACAATAATATCATCGAGAAAGGAAACATGTAATGAAATGATATACATGTACTTTTATTTTTCCTGAATTTATTAAAATGTGAAATTATATTAATTTTCTTCTTGTTTGCTTTACAAAATTTAGTGATATATGAGAAAATTGTAATATATATGGACAACAAATATTTTTTTTTGAAAATTGCATGTAACGTATCAAAATAAAACTAGATACGAGTCAGAGCATCAAAGCTGGTATCTCCTTATCCGTGTCAGCGTATCTCTAGCTAGTTGAGACATATTTTCTCAGGAATATAGAAAAACAAACTAAAAACTAGTAGAAAAGGTTGACGTCTTCTACAGTTCTACTTCATCAGCTGATTTTAAATTTCATTTGTTTTCTTCTAGCATGAAATTGTTTCCCTTACTTACAATTATTAGTAATTTTGGTTACACTCCAACAGAATATGCTATACAACAAAAGTAGCATGTGGATAATTTTATACACTTTATAGTGAAGTGATTCTCCAATAAAGATGGAAGGATACGTAAAAATGGATATACTCAGTCCATTTCGACGGAACCATCATCTTTCTTTGTAAAAATGGTTTAGGAAGCGCAATACTTACGTTGCTTGGTTAAATAACGTGATTTTCTTTAACTCTAAACCAAGAAAAGATTTCTTTATATTAAGGATTTGAAAATATAATTAAAATAGAAATTAGGCTTTTTAAAATGATTCGACGAAAATTAAGAGGCTTTTTCCGTTAATAGGGCAGGGACGGGGACTAATTGGTTCGTGGAGCGAGGTCTTCTTAGCCAAAGGAATTTAACCCTCATCGTCAGATTTTGCATAGTTGCTTGGTCGATGACGAGAAGAAGAAGAAGCTAGTCGTGTTAGATAATAAATACGTAAATCATTCCGACCAAATGCTAAGAAAGAAGTGGAGTTGGCCAGTTACAATATGTAATTATGTCCCAAGATCTGTAGTCGCCAGATCTGGTTACATGTCCAATAAAGATCTATGAATTGTTTTACAATTCCAAATATTAAAGTCATAACACAAAGACGTAAGCAACAAATGTATAATTTTGTGCAGTAATAATACTAAGACAAAAAAAAACAAAGCGATAAGGTAAAGCCAAAAAGACCGTGGAATTCAACATCACAACACGAAACCACAACACAATAAATGGATTCCATCATCTGATTGATTTAACATTCCCTGTTTTTTATGTACACATCTTCCTGCTTTTTATCAACTTTCTTCAATCGCTTTCAAAGTCGTCTTCATCTCCAAATGAGAACACAGATGCGTCAGCCGCCATAACCTTGAACTCACTCTCTGAGCTTGAAGAAGCATTGACCACAGCCCCAGAGGGTTTCTCTGTTGCTTCACCCTTGCTAACAGTTCCTCCTTGCACCGGCTGTGATGATCCCTTGTTTCCAGAAATAGATACTTTCTCTGTCGCTTTAGTCAGAGCAGAGGTTTCATCTGCACTCTGTTTGGCTTCTGGGGTTTGAGAAGAAGCCGATGATGTGGTTTTGGTCGGGCCAGTTGCGTCTCCTTCGTTATCAGAGAACACATCGTCTTTATCAGGATCCTCTGTTTCTTTATTGGGTCCTGGAACCGATGCAGAGCCGTCTACAGGGGAAGAATTAGCTGCTGAAGTTTCTTCCGGTGTTTTGGATGCTGTTTCAGAACTAGGGTTCGTGGGAATTGTTGCATTTATATCAGCAAGAACAACTTCAACCATAAATCCAGGCGACGGTAGCTTCCTCTGCATTGGAACAACGATATATCATTTCAAACAGGAGGATTGATGGAGAAAGAGCCCCACCTCAGATTTCACACACAAAGTCAAAGATTCAGCTATATTACCTTTTCAAACCCGTCAAGCTCACTGGTTTTTAGGATCACTCTATTTTCCATCATTGTCGTGTTTAACCAACTGAGAAGAGCATACGAAAAATAATAGTGAGAGAAGCAAAATATAAAAGCAATTTTGGTAATGTATTTTGGATAACGAGGTACTAGCATCCTAACCAGTAAAAATCTCCTTGGCGGTCATGAAAGTGGATTTTGAAGTCCCCAGCCAATTCTGTTAGACCTGGCTCTCCGGGTAAGGCAAAGACCATAACCCCTTTCTTTGGGGCACTGAACCAAAAGTCTTCAGGCTGCAAAATCATGAAAATTCCACAAAAACGTACAATGCAAATTCACAAAGGCTTTAACAAAATACTTGGTAACAATAAAGTAATAACAATGGCGTACCGAGAGATCCTTGGTCCGAGGATGCTTTTTCGTGGTAAAGAGAACACCTGCATATAATTAACAACAAGATGTTAGCTCTGCATGATACTGGCTTTATATGTTGTCATGAAGCAATGGATCAATCAACTCACCATTGTGATCTGAAATAGTGATGGATGGCCTGATCCAATAGGGACACCTATGGAGCCGGAATCCCCTTAACATACACCTAACAAAAAAAAATTGTTCGATGTCAATAATTAATTGTATGCTATATTAAGGTATACGAAGATGATGTTTACCTACGGCCTGGTTGGTTTTCCCCGTTGAAGTATGTCAAAATTCGTTCAAAGTATTTCACATATCTCTACACAATAATGATTAAACAGACTCAATAGTTAGCAGAAGAGCAAAGAATGTTTTCATGAGCGGCTTAATTATAAAAATTACAAAACTAGACATACGATTTGGCTGGGTAGCACAAGTCCTTTTCCATCCACACATCGTTTCTGGTTGTAGAAGTCCATACACTCTTCAGCAGTCGGAAAGAACTATAAAAGAAAAGGAAACATGATTGGTTCCCTGTGATGGATTGTTTAATACATACAACGTTAAAAGGAATTTCTTACCTTCAGATACAACAGAAGACTACATATCATAAGCCCTGTCCTTGCCATGCCAGCCTTACAGTGAACAACCACAACATTCTCAATGTCCTCCTTTAACCATGAATATGCACTTTGGCAGAATGAGGTGACCAAATGGATTGGCGGGCAATTATGATCATCAAATGGGAAACTGGCCACCTGGAGGCAAAATAATCAGCACAAAATAAGATGTATAAGGACATTAAAACGGACAGAAGACGAAGGGTAAATAGTTAACAACTGTGCCCCCATTATTTGAACATAATAGTTATCAACCTAGAAAAAGAAATGATGCTGTATAGAAGAAGTGGCTACATTATTTGCAACAGAGAATTAAGCCACTTCATTGCAGCAGGTTTTTATATGATCATGTCCAACGATTCAGGCAAGAAAAGAGCAAATTATCTCAAGATTCACAACTTTGTACATATGCAACAATGTAAACAATCTTTTTAAGGGATGCTGCTTTATAAGTACTTCAGAGCTAAAGAAACTTGAAATAGTGCAGTGGAAGATCTACGGAGCATATTTTACTTAATTTTGACTAAGTCATTTTTTCTTAAGGAATCCATGAGTTCGCCAAGTGCAAGGAAAAGAGGACGAAAAAAGAATAAGGAATATCATACCTTCCCTTCAAATAATGATACATCATACAACCTCTCTGAACAAAGATTGTAAACCTTGTATTTTCCCTATAAAGAAGAACAAAGCAATTATAAGAATAGCACAAGAGAAAAGCAGAACCTAAAATATAAGGATGTAGCAAACTGCAAACTACATCATATATAAGTTAATTTCCAAAAGTAAGATGGCAAAATGACGTTGTGACACGTTTAAAAATAATTAGACACATTAGTTATTTTTGACATATGAACATCGAAATGCCAATCTTATATCCCTTAAATCCAACTAATATCACAGAGGTTAAGAACCTCCATATAAGTCTACCCAGATTGATCTGTTACAAGCTTCTTTAAATTTGAGTAGAATGTTTCACTTGGCAATATGGAATTATGCAGAGCTGCTTATGATAAAGATAAATCATCACGAACTTACTGAATAAGGTGAACCAGTCTATCAGTTCAGAATTTTGTCCGAAATGATACAAAAGAGAGAAATAACTAGATGAACAATAAAACAGCATAATTGCATCACATGGCCAAGGGATTAATTTGTTTTGCTAGGAAATTAGTAGTAGTACCTTGTGTTGAGTTTCAAGAAAGTTGATAACTTCTTCCATTTGGTTACGGTAGAAACCCTACAATGATGTTTTGAACGAATATTGGTCATATTAACTTGAAACAAATCCAGGGGAAACGATTATAAGCATGCTTATTGACTCACCTCAACATATCCAAAAAAGCCAGAACTCATATCACCAGCAGGAAACCCCATTGCAATTATGTTCTCTGTTATGTACGTCAAATCCAAATCAAATCCTCCTTCCTGAACCAAAAGTAACATTTGATGTCATATGAAGAAACAAGCTAGGTCTTCATGGAAGTAATTGGGTAGCAAAACAGATGACACAAAATCGAACGAACTTAAAAAGTATTAAGTTAATTGCACCTGGTATCTTCGTTTGTTCTGTGATACAGCGTGTCGAGCCTTGACCTGTACTGCCTTGACAGCATTCTTTGATGTATCTACCAAACCTTTCGTAATTGTGCCAATGAAACTGGATTCTGTACCACTTGAAGTACCTTCTGTGGTCTCATTAGGTTGAGGAGATTTCGGAGATAAACGAATCCCTAACCCACTAGTAAACTTTGCAAATGCAGACTTTTCAGTATTTTCGACACCAGAGTCGTTTTGTGTGGAAGCAAAAGGCTGGGGAACTTTCAAGTTTTTGGCCCATGTTGATATCCCAGCGGCAGATAGTTTTGATGCAACTCCTTTAGGAGAATCATCGGTTCCAGCTTGAACAGCAGTAACAGGAGGAGGAGGCTGACCATCGGGTATTGTTCCCGAAGCAGGCAAATTGGGTGAATCAGATGACATGGTTTCTATCTTAATCCAAAAATGTGAGTTATCAAAGTTGCAAATCCCCTTTTTGCTGCAACATTCAACAAAATACATTTGAGTAAAGAGTGTTTATATATCTAAACTTCAAAATCAAGCTAAAAAATGTGGAGATTTCACATTAACTGATGATTCAAATCTGCTTCCCTAAATCATAATTTCCGTGTTCTAATTCGCCTAAAAAAGACACTACCATTATCCTGTTCGAGGATTTAATAGAAACAACAATTGATGAGCGATCAAGACGAAGCAGACCCAGAGAACCAAAAATCTCGAAACCAGATCAGGGAAAAAGGAATCACAGAATCATGACCAAATCCACAAAAAGAGCATAGAAGGTCAAGGCAAATACCTCAGAGATCGATCCCTAGAAATCGCTTCTTCGTGAAATGAAAATCAAAACCGAACGAGTAAGATAGATAGCAGCTAGGGATTAATAAATTTTCCAGAGAGATACATTTTAGATTGATGATCAAGTCACGTGGGTACTTTCGGTCAACAATTAATCCTTGCCGTTAGATCTTGATGGTTTTAGATTTGAATCCAACGTTGCACGTGATCTCTCGAATTTATTTTTATCTTTTCATAAATTCCAAGCTCTAAAATAACACTCGCTACATGCTTTAGGAGGCTAGTAGTACCTCGATCGTTATGCAAAAACAAGACGATTATGAATCGGATATAGAAAGCTTACTTGTCAAGGCATTGTAGTTAGTCTTTGTTTTGTACATTGCCTATGTTAATCACTTGTCATTGAATTAGAAAAGTTTGAATTTTGAAAGAAAAATAGCAAAAAAATAAATGGAGATTACATGTAAAGACTAAAGAGCTTATTCATGAGTCAACTCTTTTCCTCTTGCCTCGAGCTCGCTCGATTTGAACCAAACTTGGAACATAATTATAAACAGCTGATCCACATCCATCGATTGTATATACTTGTGTGGCTTTATTAGCGTCCTCCCCAACAATGTATAGATTGTCTTCGGATTTGTCTTCTTCTATCCATCTATTAGAAATCATGATGACTTTCTTCTCCTCCTCAAGAAAGAAACTTCCATCATACCAAATTTCAAGAAGAGGGCTCAAATCCAATGCCAAGACCTTGCTCCACGACACCACCATCGCTTTGGTGGTGGTCTCATTTGTCACCCATATCTCAGTCTTGCAACTTTTATCTCTCTGTAATAACACTGAAAGTTTCTCTTCTCTAACAACGGAAAGACTAGTCTCTTCAAAACAACGACTCTTGTATGGAAGAGGCACAAGTATAGATTTCTCTGTTGAATAATCATATTTGAGCAAGGATACACACGTTTTTGTTTCATCTAAAGCAAACATGTATGTTTTTCCCTTCAAAGATACGCATTGACAAGGGTTTGGCAAGGACCAGCCTGGACAGATATCATCAATAAACCTCCATGAATCAGAGTTAAACTCGAAGATTTCGAAATCATTGCTGTCACTATAAAAGCTCAAGATTTTGTAGCAGGGTTTTTTGTCTTCTTGGTAGTAGTATCCAAGAACAAAGGTGCGTCCTTTATCGCGACGATTCCCGGTTTTGATCCACCTGTTTTCACCAGTTAACGGGTTCCAAACCAAGATTGCAGATTCGTCGTCTTGGGAGGAGCATAACAACAAGCCGCCACAGTGAAAGACTCGAGAATTTTCCATTTTAGTACTAATTGGATACTTAGAATCTGAATCGACTCGCCTAATCTTACTTTCAACCTCTAAAGATGGCATAATTCCATGGAGATTGAGGCTCATCAAACAAGGTACCTTGTGGTACTTGGTCGATATGAGAGGTAGACACTGCTTTGCGGCTTTATCAAAATGCTTTCTTTCGAATCTCCGATCATCTTTGAATAAACGGTTCCATTCTTTGCAAGTAGAACGTAATCGTTTGAGATATGTCGCCGGAACGTAACAGAGTATCTCCTCTATCAAATCCTTTGGAAGCTCAGGTATCGTCATTGATCTCTGAAGAAAACGTGGCTAGCTCTCAATCTTTTTTATTTAGGGTTTTGCTTTTCACCTTCGTCAATCGTCATAACTGTTTCTCTTTTCCTATTTATAATCTGTTATGAGTTTTTGCTTTTCCTTTATTTTATTTTTATTTTTCCTCCAAATAATTCCATATGAATCGCTTCTTTTTAAAGTAAAAATACCGAACAGAGTAAATACTATTCTTTCTGGAGTTTAATTTGTGAAGCTAAACAAGTTCTCCAAGTGCTGATATAAGACTGGAGTTATATGGAAGCCCATTGGATTATGATGTAAATATTCAATTTCGTTCTTAAAGCTGTACTTATATTTTTTATGGGTGATTAAGCTAACTTTTCTCTTGGTCTTGGATCCGCAAAAAAAAAACAAATGGCTTTGGCTACTTCAGGTGTTTACAATAATACTACTTCGTAGAAATATCTGATAAATGATCAAGCAAATCCATTTGGGCCAGGGGATTACTGAAATGGCAAACAAAGACTTGGATAGATATATACTACAATGCCTTGACAAACAAGCTTCTATATCCGCCTCACAATTGTTTGATCATGCAGTTTTTGACTAACTATAGAGCACTCATGCAATTCCACACAATGAAAATGGATATTGAATATAGATTATATTATAGAGGAACTGTGGCAGCTGACATACATAAAGCAAAAAAAACAGAGCATGTGACAACAACCAAAACCATCAGCATCGCATTTCTTTCTCGACTTAGATTGTGCTGCCAAAAAGGTTCAAATACAAGATAAGATTGAAATCTTCATTAACCTTAACATGTTGTGAGGGCTTTCAAATATATACTTGACTTGACCCAATATTGAATTATGTAGTAAAATATTGAAATTAGTTCTTAATCATTTACAGGAAGATCAAGTCAAATCAAATCTCAGACAAAAAATCAAATGACGATGGGAATGATGATTTGGTCGGGTAAGAAGGCATCATTGCTACACCGCATTTCCCAAATGAATCATCGATGTTACGTTGGAGCTTAACATAACCGTTTTCTCCCCAATTCAATCCCCATGAATTACGAATGATCCAGTAATCTTCACCACTTGAGGTTCCATACCCAACCACTACCACACCATGGTCCAAATATATTCCACATGTTCCTGTAAACACACCCTGAGGAAAGAAACAAAAACACACAGAATTAGGTTTCAAGAAACCTAAATATCGAACCAAGAAGATTGAATCAAGCTTTTTTTAAGTGACAAGGGTCATTGAAAATTACGGATTTGTAAAGCTTGAAAGCTTGGCTACTGGCTTCAATGGCAACACCAACAGGTTGATGAGCAACAGCTTTCTTCAAAGACTTCTCATCGTTTTGAGCAACATACTCGTAACCATCGATCTTAACAACACGAGTGTTGTTCTTCTGTAAGATGAAACATAGATGACATGTTTTTATGAGTTGGAACATAAAAGAACACGTCAAAAGTACCAAATATGTAGGGATCAAAAACCTTATCGGCATTGCACACGCCAAGATCGGTGGCGGTATAAGGGTAATCTTGATCTGACTCAATACCACCGTTGTTAATAATGAACTCAAAAGCATAGTTCATGACACCACCTTCACATCCAGCGTTAACAAAGCCTCTGTCACAGTCAATGAGTTCTTGATCTGACAAAGATATCAATTCTCCGGTCTTGATCTGGTTTATCCCTTCCACTGCTCCAACCGCAGAAAACGCCCAACAACTTCCTATATATCGAGAAATCGCAACTTCGCAATCGTTTCAAGTTCTAAAACGTGCACACATCCAAAATCAAAAGCTAAAATCGCCGTACCACAGTTTCCTTGATCTTTGACTGGTACAACTGCACCTTTCGCTCTCCAATCGATTTCATCAGGCAAAATATCTCCTTCTTTGTACAAATATCTGTCAGCTTTCATGAAATCTTTAGGTCTCTCAATCTTCTTCCTCAAGTAAATAGCTGGAACTCATCATTTGTTAGATCTGCGAACCGGGTCAACCCGACTTCAAAAGTCTGATTCGGAAGAGAATTGTGTTCGTCTATGAACTTCAAGTTTTCTTTGAAGATCTTGCATCGTCTCTCTTTCTCTCCAAGACCATTATAGTTCTTCCGATTCTCCACGAGCCATCGCTCGTACATGAGCCGCACTTCCGCCACGTTCCGCTTCGTCTCTGTTTCTGTGACAACTCTTCCTAGAGACGAGGAGAGTATTGATACCGAGAGGATCACGAGAGCTAAGGCTACAAATCTGATTGGAGTAGCCATTGTTTTTTTTCTGTAGTTTCAGTGAGATTTGTGCAACAGTTGACGTCAAGACAAGAAGAGGCAGATGAATTTGTTGTGTTTTGAGAAATATTATTTTCTTTTGTTACATTTGTATAATCTATTCTGACCAATAACATATTTCATATGATTCTATCACGTATTTTATAAATTTCAATTTTTGTAGTCAATATTTTCATCAAACGTAAAAGATAGTGGTTCAATTATTGGAAGGTTAAGAGAACAAAGCTGTTTGATTACAATGTATCTTACAAGATGCGAATGATGATACTATGTTACCTAAAACTAAAAGAAAAAGTTTGTTGAGACTTATCGAAGAGCCGTTCAACTTCAACTGGGTCAAATTTTATTATTCAAGGAAGATGACACAATGCTATGTGAGCAAATATCAGATTACTTCTTCAACATTTACAGCAAGCAAAATCAAATCCAAGATAACACATTAAAATTAACGAGGAATCAAACTATGATCCGAACTTGAAGTGTCTAAAGAAAGAAGACTGAATCTTAATTAACGTGGGATGAAAAAACAAATCGGAGCTTCGTTCGTTTCATCTCTCCTCAAGCGCTGCTTACAAGAACGTTTGTAGACTTTGTGGTCGCAATCGCTGGTCCTCGTGTCAAGGCTTTTATGCTTAACGGACTGCTTCCCTTCTGTCCACGCCAAATTTGGAAAAACGAATCAGTCAAGTAACAAACAAAAACAGAGTCCTTAAGCCACAAGGGAGAACAAGAAACTAACCATTCTACAAGTATTGGCCTTCAAATCGCAGACGGGGTATGACTGAGGGCAGCAGCTAGAACCATCATCGCAGCAAGTGGCTGACTCATACGGACAACATCCCCAGCTATAGCATTTACCATTGTACTCATATAGACAACAACAAGTGGACTTAGCTGGACAAGTGTTAGACTTGTCACAAACAACCGGTGAAGGTGGTGGCGGTTTTGGTGGGTTTGAGCCTGATGATTTGGTAGGGTAAGAGGCCATCATTGCCACACCGCATTTCCCTGATGACTCTTTGATGTTACGTTCAAGCTTAAAATATCCGCTTTCTCCCCAGTTTGATCCCCATGAGTTACGAACAATCCAGTAGTCTTGACCACCTTCTGATCCGTATCCCACAGCTACCACACCATGGTCCAAAGATGTTCCACATGTTCCTGTAAACACACCCTGAAATAAACAACCAAAGGAATCATTTTATTGAATTGGGTTTCAAGAAACCAATCTTGGATGCAGAGAAATCAAGGTAAGGCTCATTGAAATTACAGATTTGTAAAGCTGGAAAGCTCGGCCACCAGCTTCAATGGCGACACTAATAGGTTGATTAGCAAGAGCCTTCTTTAAAGACTTCTCATCGTTTTGAGGAACATCCTCATAACCATCAATAGTAACAACACGAGAATTCTTCTGCAAGAAATAAATGAAAAACATAACACATAAGTATACAACATTTAAACCATAAATCAAAACTACAAAACATTATCGTTATGATCAAAGATTGTTTACCTTGTCAGAATTGCAAATGTTGTCATCAGTTGCAGTATAAGGATAATCTTCCTCTGTATCAATACCACCGTTTTCAATAATAAACTTAAAAGCATAATCCATAAGACCTCCACCACATCCACCATTGTAACTTGTGTCACAATCAACAAGTTCTTGCTCCGACAGAGATATCAACTCTCCTGTCTTTATCTGGTTTATCCCTTCAACCGCTCCAATCGCCGAAAACGCCCAACAACTTCCTGTTATATCAACCAATACCAAAAAAAATCCCTAATCAGCTCAAAATCAAAAATAGAAACGCCAAAAAACAACGATCAAAACGCAAACGCAGTTCGACATACCACAGTTTCCTTGATCTTTGACTGGATTCACAGCACCTTTAGCTCTCCAATCGATTTGATCAGGTAAAGTATCTCCAACCTTATACAAATACCTCTCTCCCTTCACCGGAACCCTAGTTCTCTCCATCTTACTTCTCAAGTAAATCGCTCGAAATTCATCGTTCGTTAGATCAGCGAACCGGGTCAACCCTACTTCAAAAGTCTGATTCGGGACGGAATTGTGCTCTTCGATGTACTTCAAGTTGTCTGTGAAGATCTCAAAGCGTGTCTCTTTCTCTCCGAGACCATTATAGTTCTTTCGATTCTCAACAAGCCACTGTTCGTACATCCGCCGTGCCTCCGCCTCGTTTCGTGTCGTATCCGCCGCTGTGACGGAGCCGAGAGACAAGGAGATTAGTAACATTGAGAAGATCAAGAGAGCTAGGGTTATGGATTTGATTGGAGTTGCCATATTTGTTCGTTTCGATTTGAGATTTTTGCAACTGTTGCGTTCCAAGTATTTATAGAGTTTGAAACTTTTGTCGTCGAGAGAGAGCGATTGCCGATTGGGATGGGTAGATGTGTTCTTCGTATTGGCTCCGACGTGTCATTATTTTATTTTATTTTCTGAAACGAAATAAAAAAATATGTCACATCACATGGGCATAGATAGTTCTATTCATATTTTGTCTATGGTTTAAATTTTGGTTACATAATTAAAAGTTAAACTGATAATTACTTCCAATAAATCTAGATAAACTTTTAAATAAATAAATAAAAATCTACATAAACTTCATTTTAGATAAAACTTTAACATTTTTGTTTTTGATATTTTATATGAAGTTTCGATTCGAAGATAAATTAAGATATGGTGAAAGAAATCGTTTTATTTTATTTTTATTACAAGTTACAAGCATGTTTCTTAGTTTGGAAAACCTAATTCTAACTTTTTACAGAGTAGTTTCTTGACGACACTAACCTTTCCCGGAAGGTACTAGGAACCCATATGTTACACGCACTATGGAAGCTATTAATAACACATACTATTATATAAATATTAAAAGTACAATATTCATATAATTATTTTTTGATGTCGTGGTCATACACGGTATTACTATTAAAATGTTTACGTAACCAATGAAATATTCCTTTTTCATTTTTTTCGATTTTTTTTTGTGTTGCTTGCATCTTAAAAACTCTTATATGATCATTTCAATTAAAAAGTAAAACGAGGATCATTACATGCAGTTAGGGGTGTCAAGTTGGTTAAACCAAACCAAACCAATCCATATCCATATGAGTTTAGTATCTAATGGATGATGAGTCAATCCAAACCATTTGCTAAATGGTTTGGATGAAACCATAACTCATTTAAATTATTGGATTAATGGATAAACTCATTTAATCCATTTAATAAATTTTCCATGATCTAAATAATTATCATACTACAATCATCATCATCATACTACTATAATCATTCATGATCATAATCATCATCATACTATTATCATCTCATCATCATCATCATCATCATCATCATCATCACCAGCTTAAAAATAAGAAACAGACATCAAGTTCTTGAATTCAAAACACAACAACTTAAGCTGCATAAACTCAGTGAAACACAAAAGATTTGTCCAAACATGGAAAAGGAAACGTGTGATCGATTCGATCAATGTATAAGAGAGACACTGGAACTTTCACTCGAATCCTAACAAACAAACTCTTAAATTTGTGAAACTCAATGAACAATGACAAACGTATAATGCAAAATATAAACAAACAGAGCACTAATTAATGAAATAGATGTTTTTCCACGATCAGCAAGCTAGAAGGCTCATGTTAAAGTGACCAGTATATATGTACATAATATATAAAAAAAACACTTGCACAAGAAGGGTTAGACAATGCAATCAACGATAGTTTAAATCAAACAAAACACTTACTCTCTGATTTTGCTTGCACGAATGAAACAATAGAAATTGATCCATCAAGCATATATTATTATAATAAGACATCATTCTCATCACAAAGTACCTTCCGGAACCTTAAGTTCGACGGTGGTGGTAGTGAAATCGAAATCGGATTCCTTAGGGAAACCACTCACGTAGTCTTTCAATGTTGGTGGTGGTGGCGCTTGCCTTTGAGAGCCTTTCCGATGGTTCACTTCGTCGGCCGGAGACTTGATCGGTAAGAGAGAAGAACGAGACCCTTATCAAAGCTTCGAAAAACCCTTTGGCGAATAGAGATAGCGAGAGATTGATGGTGGTGAGAGATCGATGGTGGTGAGAGTTGTGAGGCTGAGGAAGAGAGATCGATGATGGTGAGAAACCGGTTTAGTAAACCGGTTTAGACATTTTATTCGGTTATATTCGGTTTACATATTTGATTTAGAATGTTTAATTTCTACTGGTTTGGTTATGAGTAATCCACTAATCCACAATAATCCAAACCATTTCAATCCAATTCATTAAACTCATTAATCCATTTAATCCATTAATCTATTAAGATCCAAATTTCTCATTCATTAGATCCACGGATTGAATTGGTTTGGATTGATCCATTAATTTCAATCCATTTTGACACCTCTACATGCAGTATGTAATTCTCGTTTGTAACAAGATCATATGTCTTGTTTAACCAAATATTCATACGCAAATTCTCTTCAAACTTTTATCATTGGTTCTCTTATTAATTGCTACTATTATCTAAGAGGCAGAATGTAGTGGAAATTGGGATGAGTTTGAGGTTAGCATTCTTCATTTTATATCTCACAAGCTTTTAGAGTCTTTGGTTTATGTTTTAACTAGATTCTCATAGTAGGTGGAAACTAGAAATTATTAAGGGAGAATAACTAGAATGACCCTTATATGGGGATTAATAAGTAGAATGACTCATATCTTTTAATAATAACTAGAGTGTTTTCGTTTTTTTTAATCCCCAAAATACCCATATAAAGCTTTGTACAGAAAATCATAATAACAAAAATGCCATTAAAAAAAAATGCCAGCTAGGCAAAAGTTGCCGTTATTTACAGAAAAACCTGTCATTATTTACAGTTTGAGCCACAAGCTTTTAGAGTCTTTGGTTATGTTTTAACTAGATTCTCATAGTAGGTGGAAACTAGAAATTATTAAGGGAGAATAACTAGAATGACCCTTATATGGAGATTAATAAGTAGAATGACTCATATCTTTTAATAATAACTAGAGTGTTTTCGTTTTTTTTAATCCCCAAAATACTCATATAAAGCTTTGTACAGAAAATCATAATAACAAAAATGCCATTAAAAAAAAATGCCAGCTAGGCAAAAGTTGCCGTTATTTACAGAAAAACCTGTCATTATTTACAGTTTTGCCACTGATCTCTGCGAACTCAAATAAATATGTAGAAAAAATCTGCCACCGATTTTATAAATCTGCCACAAATTTTATAAATCTGCCACAGATTTTATAAATCTGCCACCGATTTATAAATCTGCCACAAATTTAATTGTATCGTTATCGCTGACTTGTTTTCTTGCAGATTTGTTTTTGAACCACAGATTTGTTCTACAGATTTATTTCTACCACAGATTTAGTATACAGATTTTTTCATAGGTTGCTACCGATTTATAGGCTATTACAGATTTTTTGTCTACCACAAACTTGTCTTACAAATTTTCTTTGATGACATCGCAGATTTCCTAGGTTTCGCAGATTTATTTCTACAGATTTGTTTTTCCTACAGACTTATTGTCAATCACGTTTCTGCAGACTTATTAATAGTACCTACCGACTTATATTAAGTCTGTACGTTGTTGCAGATTTGTTACTGCAAAAGATAATAACTAGACTGACTCTTAGTGATCACAGAGTTTTACCTCTTGACGGCAGATATATTATGAATCACAGATTTATTTCCCATCATCACAGATATATGTGTCGTAGTTGTCGCAGACTTAATCTAGACTTAACTACCTTTTTAGTTGTCACAGACTTATATTCTACAGACTTGTTGTTACACTTTGACCGCAGATATAGTTTTACAGACTTATTTGAAGACACCACATATTTGTTTTCTAGAATCTAAGATAGAGAAATCTGGACCGTCCGATTTAGGGTTTGACCAATCCTTAGCTTATCTTAGATTTATTTGGTCTAGATTTAAGTTATCGCAGATTTATTTGGTCCCTATTTTCATCATTGTGGTGTAGATTTAAGTTATCGCAGATTTATTTGGTCTATAGATTTATGTTGTCACAGACTTATTTGGTCCCTATTTTCATCATGCCAAGGGATTTTGCACTTCCAATACTAGAGCATGTTGCGACTAAAGTGTGTTCGCCACCTATTCCGAAACAACAACCAGGTAAGCCTAAAAAGTCAAGATTTAAATCTGTCCTTGAGAAAGCCATGGAGAATAAGAGGCCTAGGAAACAACACACGTGTACCAGTTGTAATGAAACTGGGCATAATCGTAAAACATGCAAGAAGTCATAAACTTGATGAAGTAGTCTCTGTTGTAAACTTTTGTTGTATTTTTCAAACTTGTATGAGTGTTATTGTGGAACATGTAAGACGTCTGTATTGACATGTCAAACTTTTATGTGTTATTGTAGAACATGTGTGTTGTTATGGAACTTGTTGTGTTGTTATGGAACTTATATCTCTAAGAATTCAAGTCTTACATGTTCTAATAAAAGTATGTGGTTACAATAACACTCAGGAAAAATAACTGGTTCACACCAAAAAAGTCGGTGGTAACAGCTGCAACAACTGGTTCACACCAAAAAAAATCTGTGGAAACAATAACATTCCTAAATAAGAAAACTTGCAACATCTGACTCAAAACCAAATGCAACCACGACCATATCATAAAGACACTCATTCTGAGTGATCATTGAGATAAGGGATCTTGAACTCTGCACGACGAGGCAATGGATTAGTCAATGCTATGTCTCCCGTCAGTGGAACTTCCTCAAACATCTCAGCTCCTAATCTCTCCCGCAATGCCTGAATGTTCCCATCGTTAAGTCCATCAAACTGCCATCCTACGGCTAGGCACTCTTTTTCTTCTCCCGAATCCTAGATGCATTTTTCAAAACAAATCTGTGATCAACGAATCAAAACTGTGGACATACTTAAAACAAGTCTGTGAACATATTAAAACAAATCTGTGGTTATGTCAAAACAAATCTGTGGTGATACAAACAAGTATGTGAACATATCAAAACAAATTTGTGGTCATATCTAAACAAATCTGTGGTGATACTAACAAATTTGTGTCTTAGAGAACACAAACCAGTGAAATTCATAGTCATTGAAGTTAACTCCACCAGAATCTATGTCGGTGACTAGACAGAACCCATTGAGAACCAATAAATCTGCAATCAAATCAATGCAACCAACAAACAAATCTGTAATGATAAATCTGCAATCAAAACAATACAACAAACAAACAAATCTGTGATGAGCAGCAATTAAATCTAGAAACACTAACAAAAAGATATGCAATCAAAATACAACCAACAAAACAATGCAACCAACAAAGATACTCGCAATATGATCCTGCAATAGACATTGATAGAATTGTTATTACTTAAAACATATTTGCGATGAGCAACAAATAAATCTACGAAAACGAACAAACAAGTCTGTGATGAGCAACAAATAAATCTGTGATAATTAACAAATAAGTCTGCCGTCAAGACTGACATTTCATCGAACACCTTTCATGCAATATGTTTTTCCAACTCATTTTATAAAAATATAAACCATAAATCAAAGGAAAACCTCAACGTTGCTGCTGTTGGTGACGGAATCCAACATAGATGCTGGCGGCGAAGCCTAAGAAGATGAAGTAGAAGCGGCAGAGAAGAGAGAAGCGATAGTTTCCAGCGGAAAAGGGAGAAGCGGTGGAGAGGACAAGAGAGGAGAAAGATGAAGCGACAGGTACTGGTGGACAAAGCTGGACGGAAGCGCAGCGGTCGGAGTTACGGCGAACGGAATTTAGAAGAGAGGTGGCGGCTAGGTTTTGGAGGAAGAGAGAAGTAAAGTGTCGAGAGAAAAATGTGAAAAAGAAAACATGAATTTTAGATTTTAATAATTTTTTCTTTTTAGTTTACTTTTTATTAAAAATAATTCATAATGGCATTTTTGTTAATATGTTGAAAAAAGTGGTTAGAATGTCTTTGTCAAAAAGATATGGGTTAGTCTAGTTAGAGCTCTTAGAACTAAGTCACTCTAGTTATTTTACTACAAATATGGGTCATTCTAAGTAATTTTCACAATTATTAAGCTAATAGCCTAATATATATTTTGTTGGCTAGATTGTAGTAAAAAGAAAACTAATTAAGTAAAAAAAAATTAAAATTATTATTGATACTATTTTTTTTTGTTGATATATAGTATTTTTGTCTCCAAAAGGTGTAATTCTAATCAATTTGAATAGTTCTTTTTGGATGTTGTACAAGGAAGAGAAAAGGATGGTTAGCTAAGATCATAAGTATGATCATTCATAGGCAACGTCATAAAGACTTAAACGGCCGGACAACGTGCAACAAAACTATTTTAACTCGCGTACTGAATCAATACTTTTTCTAATTAATTAAGATAAACGATGATGACTCGTCTTCATCTAATAGCCTGACGAAGACGAATAAAAGGATAACCATTGAATATGAAATAATGTTAATTATTGTTACATTTAAATCATTTATCAGTATCACCCAAAATTGATCCCTTGTCTAGGTCTGGGCATATTATCCGAATCCGAAGAACCGAACCGAACCCGACCCGAAAAATCCGATCCGAATCCGAATCCGAAGTTTTAAAATACCCGAACGGGTTCTAAACTTCACAACCCGAAAATCTGAACCCGAACCCGATCCGAACCCTAATCCAAACAAGTACCCGACCATACCCGAAATATAAGTACATAGTTAATATTTATACTTGTAAAAATTTAAGTGCCTAAATTATTTGGATGCTAAGAATTTTTGGGTGTTTTAGTTACTTTTGGCTAGATTCGGTTAAAAAATACTTGGGTTTTATAGATTTTTGAGTATTTTTCAATACTTTGCAAAGAGTCGGATACAAAATTTTTAATATTTGGATACTTCGGGTAAACCCGAATCCGAACCCGAAATATCCGATCTGAACCCGACCCGAACCCGAAATTTTAAAATACCCGAACGGGTCTTAGTTTTTTATACCCGAAAAACCCGAACCCGAAAAACCCGACCCGAACCCGATCCGAATATCCGAACGCCCAGGCCTAGCCCTTGTCTATTAAAAAGGACAACTTTTTCTATTTTGTGCTTAATCTCTTCTTTCTAATATCACCGCTACTATACATGAGAGAGAGATTTCAAAGTCCGATCTTATTCCACCATGAGCTCAATTGCAAAATATATATTTCTGACACAAATTACTTTATGTTTGGTATACTTCAAGGGGTTACCTAGACATGTCAATTAGGGCCAAAGCCCGCGGGCTACCTCGGCACAGTCCTGAAAAAGTCTTTATTAATTAGTTTAAAGATTGGGAAAAAGTCTGTCCATCTTCATTTTCTAAAGACTACTACTTGCTCAATAATTTGGGGGTTAATTATAGAACCAGATAATCTTTTAAATTTCCGGGAAGTCAAGCAAAAACTCATTGGCTTTGGTTATGTTATTATATCTTTTGTTTAACTACAGTTATTATTGATAGTATTTGTGTCTCCAAGAAAATGTAATTCTAATAAATTTGAATAGTTCTTTTAGGATGTCGAACAAGTAATGAAGAGAAATGGATAGTTAGATTAGATCATAAGTATGATCATAGGCAACGTCATAAAGACTCAAACGGCCGGACAATGTGCAACAAAATTATTGTAATATATTCACGTACTGAATCAATTGTTTATCTAATTAATTAAGATAAACGATGATGACTCGTCTTCTTCTAATAGTCGGAAGAAGACGAAAAAAAGGAAAACCACTGAATATGAAGTAGTGTTGATTATTGTTACGTTTAAATTATTTATCAGTATCCACACCTAAAATTGATCCTTATATATTTAAAAGGGAAAAATGTCATTTAAATCATCAGTTTGCCATTTTCGTTGGTTTAAATCATGAACTCTAGACCTGGTGATTTAAATTCTTAATTTTATGTTGATTTTCATTTTAATTATGAATTTTTATTGACAAAGCCAAATGAGGCATATTGCTAACTGGCTAAACGGATCAATAAGACGATGTCATCGCATAACTGCCACTTCGAAGCCATCACATAATTTTTCTTCTACACCAACATGGTTGCATCTTCCTCTTCGTCTGATTGCTCTATTTAGCCAGTTAACGATGTGTCTCAATTGGCTTAGTCAACGAGAATTCGTAATTAAATTGAAAGTCAACATAAAATTGAGGATTTAAAACATCAGATCCATATAAAATTGAGGATTTAAATCACTATATCCAGAATTAATTCTTTAAGCTAACGAAAAATGGTAAACAGATGATTTAAATGACATTTTTCTCACCTATATGTTTTGTTCTTAATTAATCTCTTTTTCTAATATCGCCACTGCTATACATGAGACAGATATTTCAAAGTCCTTTCTTATTCTACCATGAGCCCAGTTGAAATATATAGTTCTGACCCAATTACGATATTATCATGGACTAACTTGGCCACTTCTATATGGGCCAATACTTCTTTCTGATATAGCATTTGAGTATTTTCATCAAACGTTGGCATTTACATCAATTAGTTTATCTGATGTTTGACTAAAATAAATTAAAATCATGTGATTCCTTAAAATAAAAACTTTATATTTTAACTAAGGGGGTGTTATTCAGTGATGGAGTTAAAATCAATTCTTTAAAGTTTAGATTTGCTTTCTGATATTGTTTTTAAGAATCTGTTTGTGTGTATTTCAAAATCTCTGCAGTATATTTTGAATTTTGATTCTAATAATTTAATTTCCTCATGAAACTCCAGAAAGGTTTCATTTCAAATGATATAATATATAAAAAATTTACAAGTCTTTTAGTTTTGAATAACACTGTATTTTAATAAAGTATTTTAAATCTTAATTGAATAACACCAAACTTTTAAAATCTAATGAAATATAAGATCTAATAACACCAGATTTTAAAGTTAGATTTATAATCATTAGTTGAATAACACTGAATTAGTGTTGGATTCTAATTCTATTAAAATTCATCACTGAATAACACCACCTAAGAAATTATATATATATGTATATATATTTCATATGAAACATTTAGACAGTAACTGTATTGCTAGATATATTAGTAACTTGTATAGTAGTAACTAGTAACTTGTATAGTAATGAACTAGTTTTTTTTTTAGTATGATAATGAACTAGTTATCTAGAAACAAATTATATTTAATTTTTAAAATATTAAGGTACGTTTTCCTTGGACATCAAAACCATTTTATATTTAAGTAAGATCGGCTGTGTTCTAAGATTGTAGATGACTTAATTAACTATTATTTAAATCACATGTAAATGGTTTTATTCGTGAGAAAAATCGATTTTTAACCATTGATTTGTTTCCGTGATGCTCTACTGATTACATCTAATCAGAGTGATAAGATTAACGTTTATGCATGCATCGTCTTGTTTATTTCTGTCGAATATATATAGAGAGAATAAAGAATAAAAGTACAAACGAAGCAAAAGAAAACCATTGGAGAAAAGCTACACATCGAAACAAAAATAAGAAAAAAGCATCTGAACTTATCGGAGAGTGGCAGTAATTGTTAGGAATTTGGGAATCAAATCCATTTCAAATGGGAAAAAAAATATTAAAATGGTTTCGAATATTGTTTTTATTTGTTTACATGTATTGTTGTTTTCGGAATATTTTTGTTATTAATTAAAAAAAACATATAAACAGAGAGAATGAGCTGGGAAGCACGTGTGAGAGTAGAGAGAAGCACGTGTAACAACGACAGTGCAGGGTTGACTGGAGACAGTAGGGTCGTGAAGAGGCGCACTGTTTCATACACACGCGTGACGCGTGTAACTCATCCTCTCCACTGCTATACGTCGTCGTTTTGATTTCCTTACTACGGGAAAAAAAAAAAAGGGGGGACTCACAAAAATGCCCCCTTTTTAATACCCCTTTTCAAAAATACCCCCTCCCTAATAGCTTCCCTGAAATTGACTATTTTACCCTTAATGAGTAACCAAATTGACCAATTGAGGAACCAAATTGAAGAAGAGAAAACTGGGGAACGACGAACAAAAATCTCGGCGTCTCTCGTCACCTTCACAGCCGACGAACAAAAGGTGATGAGATCTTAGATCCGTCGATATCTTCATCTTAGATCCGTCGAGTTCAATCGAGTTCAATCGAGTTCAATCGACGAGGATCAATCGATTCTGTAATCAAAAATCTGTGACTCATCCCAATCTGCATCAATTAGGTTCGAATCGCTTCTGAAATCTGAACCGTTTAGATCCAAAAGTTCATCGATTTCGTCTTCAAATCTGAATTGATTAATTAAAAGCTTCGATTCTGTGTTTATCTATTTTCTCGAATTTGTCTTGCTTGAAAATTATAATTCGTGTTACCTTTAAAAACTTTCTAAAACCATTGTAAAAATTTCTTCTTCATCTTCTCACTGTATTTATGTTCTTCAGTAACTATTGTACACTATTAGTGAAATAATTTTGATTTACCGTGTTTTTTGTGAAGATTGTAAACCTTTAAAAAATATTGTAAAACCATGAAGAACTTTATAAATACCTTGTGAACTATCATAAAGATACATATGTTTAACATTATAATACATTATCTTTTTTATCAGGTCGTAATGATTGAGTTGAATTGCATATCTGGTGTTTGGAAACTGAAAAATAACAATTGTTGGGATTTTAAATTTGATGTTGAAAGAGGAGGGTCTCTTACTTTTATCAATGAGGATACGTGTTTCACTGATTTGTGTGCTGTTGTTATAGAAGATTTTGGAATTGATGTCGGTATTAATATAGTGAAACTCAGTTATTCATTACCCTCTACAAAAGACATGCCTCCTATGTATATTAGAAATGATAGGCAAGTGCAAGCATTTATGAAAAAGCTTGCGGAATTCAGAGGCGGTATTCAGCTATGTGTAACTGTTGAGAAGGTATTTTACCAACATTCAATTTTGTAAACTGGTTTAACAAATTTGTAAACAGTTTTAATTATCTTTACAGGGGAAAAC